ACTCTTGAAGCTCCGCCCTCTGTGTCGGGAGCAGTAGCTCATCTGCATTTAAAGGGACAGACACAAAAACAGTGCATTTTTGCTAACCCTCAAAAAGTGACAATTGCTAGAAAAAATATCTGTGTGGTATTTTAAGATAAAACTTCACACACACACACACACACTCTGGGGACATTAAAGACTTATTTTACATCTTGTGAAAAGGGCATTATAGGACCCCATTATTTATTTATTTATTCCTGTGATTCAAAGCTAAATTTTCTGCATCTTTACTCCAGTCTTCGGTGTCACATGATCCTTCAGAAATCACTCTAATATGATATTATTATTATCATTGTTAAAAACAGTTGTACTGCTTCATAATTTTGTGGAAACCATGAAATAATTTTTTTAGTATTCTTTGATGAATACAAAGTTCAGAAGAACAGCATTTATTTGAAACCTTTTGTAACATTATAAATGTTTTGTCACTTTTGATCAATTAAATATGGAAGCTTATTTCCGCTTTTTTCTTGCACTTGTGACTTTATTTTTCGCAATTCTGACTTTTATTCTTTGAATTGCGTGATACAAACTCGCAATATCATGCAATTCTGAGAAAAAAGTCAGAATTGTGAGATTTAATTTCACAATTGCGAGAAAAAAGAATGGTGAAATGAAAAAGTCGCAATTGCCTTTTTTAAATATTTATTTAGTCTCGGAAACCAGCTTCCATAATTAAATGCTTGCTTAAAGCTACACTGTGTGATTTTTACCCCCATCTAGTGGTGAAAAGGTATATGACTATCCAGTGAATATTAATTTCTGTTCCTCTCAATTCCGGTTTCGTTTTAACTCTTACGGTGGCCAATGTTGTCCAAGACTAACATTGCTTCCAGTTCGACCTCGTCCATGAGTGTTAACTCAAATGTAAACGCGAAAGGCGAAGCTTGAATTAACGGGTATGTCCCTCTTTGGCTAATGTATTTTCAAGATGGAGGGGCAACATGGCGACCGACATTAGAACCCCTTACCCGTATGTATTTTCAATGGCATATTATACACTCACGAGAATACTTTATTATTTGAACGAAGTAAATATACATTAATGAGCACATATATTTTTGAAAGAACTAAGTGTTTAAGTGAACTAAGCTAAGAATAGACTAAAAGAGTTACACAGTGTAGCTTTAATAAAAGTATTATTTCTTTAAACAAAATTGAAATTACAGTTGTTTTGACCTCTTATATGTGAAAGATCAAATACGATTTTATTCATAATATAATAAACCATTAAATTCCTGTTCATTTCTGCAGTAATATGATCCGAATCAATGAACACATGGTGTTCCTTAGTAACCTTTACCCTGTCTGTGACATGCCAGATTACATCTCAGACTGGAGCCCACAGGCTGAACATTCGTGTACTTTTGGAGGAAAAACAAATGGCAATACCCTCCGGTTGTGCTTGTACCGCCGTTGAGCTTGCTGGCATTACAGGAGCTGCTCATTTTATTGCAAGAATTTTCCTATCGACATGCTCGTGCCAGTAATTGGAGAAGTGATCTTTTTAATTGGCCTGCAACAAAACATTTTCACGACTTGTTTCCGCACATTACGAAACCTGAGGAACGTGGTTATCATCATCTTTGGTAATGTAGTGGATTGTTGATTACAGGGTTGAATTATTTTTATGATGATAAAAACAACATAGTTGAGGATATAGACAACACTCTCCTTTAATGAGAGAGAGAGAGAGAGAGAGACGGTTGCACTGAATGGGAGGAGGGAACAAGCTCTCACATGCGTGTGGCTTACAGACACAAACACAGACTCACGCTGCTGCTGCTGCTGTTGTTGTTGTGTCTGTAAGCTTCAGTCTCTGTAGATACTTTCTCATGATCAGGTTTTTTTGCTATTTGCTGATGTGTTTCCACCATGGGGTGCAGTCTCTGTGCGATACAGCGGTCAGATGAGCACTACAAACTACTACAAGGCACATGTCAGGTAAAAAAAAAATAAAAAAATCACTACATTGTGTTGCAGTTGACTTGTCACAGTGTCATTTTGGTTTGTTTATTCTTCATTAACATACTCTGTAAGTCTGATTAAATTTAAATGAATTAAGAAATGTCAGTCATTTTTTATTGCATCAATTATAATTTGATTGAATGAGCAAATATCAAATGCCTTTGAGGTTACGCCGAATGTTTGCATGCTAAAAAGGTTGCGAAAGGTTATTTTGCCGAAGGAAGGAATGTGTTTTGGAGACTGTGTACTGTTGACAGGGTCATGAGAGGGTCACACTCTACTGAAGAAGAGCGAGAAGTGTTTGAGGTCCCGTCAAAATACTTAAAGGCTGTTTGTTTATTTGTTTGTTTATGTGGTTTGGTTTATTATAGAACGGTAACGTTCCCACAATCCCAGTTTAATTAGCTTCCACTGTAATTTAACCTCCAGTTGACCTCCTATATGACTGAAAATGTGAACTAAACTTGCAGAGCGCAAGGGGGGGACACATGCAATAACACTTTACTTACAGCCTTAATCGATAATGCATTTGGAAGGTATTCATAATACATTAAAAATTTTCCAGATTCCTTGTTGTTTGTCATGTGTTTTAATGCATTATACCTATTTAAAGCACGTAGCATAAGTATTATCACGTATTATAACTGTGGTTACGATTATTAATTATTCATGAGACAATACAATGCATTAAAAAAGATTAAAATTAAAATGCATTAAGTGTTACCACAAATGCTAAATGCAAATAATAATAAAAACAAAAAATTGTATCATAGTTATGATGACAAAATAAGGCTTATTAACTTCATATCACAGTCAGTGCAGCCAAACTTTGCTGAAACTAGATACTTTATGATTATTTTTTATATGGCAAATAATTTCGGTACTGTAATGTATGTTGTGTTGTACACTGTATACAATTTTTAAGTAAATAAATATTTGTAAAACATACTATTTCAGTCTTTCTACTTCAAAACGTCACATTTATTTCAATGCATTTCTTTGTAATTATTTGTGAAATTTGCTAGCAATACCAGTTGCAAATCTGATGTTAACATATTTTAGTTTTCCCATCTATGCATTTTTAATATTCAAAGGCTGCAGCTACCAATCAATGAAATTTATAACAAAACTTAAAAATTCTTTTATGCACACAATTGCGCACAATTTCATTTTTTGGTTTATAGCCCCTCAATTTAAACGATGTGAATTGGACAAGATACAGAATGAAATGTTTTCTATAAAAAGTTGGAAATAAAGTTTGAGTTTAATTCATTAATCGGTTATCAAGCTACAATTCTACAAACAGAACTTTAAAAGTCACTATAGCCAGGCAAAGGGTTTCTCGTTGAATTAACCTCAAGTACATTCAGTGACTTTTCTGCCCCGTGTGCCAAAAGGCATAAGAGAAACCGTGCGAGTGAGTGAATTTAAAGTAGTTTGTCAGCTCACACATGAATGGGCACACTGACAAAGTTCCCATGTGTGTTATTGCCACTGCAAGATTCCAGAACAGACAGCAGATTGAGTCGGGGTCCCTGAAGACAGCTTTGAGATTTGAGACAGCGCTTTGATAAATGAAGTTCTCTCCCATTAGCTATCTGGCACTTAGCCATTTCCTTGTGTGATTCAAAAGCTTTTACACACCCTGTTGGACTCCAATCAATGAATGAAATCTCACTAACTGTGTGATAATGTTAAAACTGAGCTTCCGGACTTAAATATATCGGTGTATTGCCCTTGCACGTTCAGGACTGACTTTGCAATGTTTAGCCAAATTAACTGTTTTAGGTCAAGAAGTCATTGTTTCATATGACAACATTCGCCTTGAGTCTTTCGTTCTTGGTCACCAAATCATTAACTTGTGTCTTGTAGGTTGTTTGTAACCTTATGGTGTCTTATAGTTCTATGCTTTTCTCATTCCAGTCAGCCAGTTTAATAATTGAAATATATATATATGGCTATTAAATTAATCAATTGAGTTGAATGGACCCTTGAATTCCCTTAGTAAACTAGAGTAAACTGGCCCACTTTTTTATTGTATAAGGATACATTAAGTGTAACTGTAGTAAACTTTGAGTACACAACTAGTTTTTGTTTGTGCTGCAACTATACAAGTGAACTTATTGTTATACTGATAGTTTACTAGTTAAATACACATTTTTTAGTTTATGAAAGTACACTTTGAAGTATACTCTACGTAAGCTATACTACAAGTATACTTGTACGTTTTTTTTAAGTGAACTTAACATTGTACTTATAGTTTAATATTTATATATTATATATTTTGCACTTTAAGTATATTACTATGTTCCTATTTAGGTACACATTTTTAAACTTGAAATGTCCATTTAACTGTACTTAACTTTCCCCACCACCATTTTTGTTTTAAACACCAGTCTGCAACACTTTTTGATCATTTTCACAAATTTCATGGCCCCAGGAATATTTTGTTGGTTGAATATCTGATCATGCTATATATCAAAATATAGCTTCTTACACTTTAATGTGGGTAATATTAATACAGCAAAATTTTGAAAGTAAAGCTGTGACAATAACATCAGACAATGTCTGGATTGGATTCAGAACTATGATCAAAACATAGATCGTGTCAGACAGGTTTTTTGGATTTTGACCTCACATCTGGTTTTAAGGTTAATGTACAGCCACATGTGGCACTCAAGTTTAGTATATACGGTAAAGTTGGGATGACAAAGCATACAAGTGCAGTGCATAAGATTAAAAGAGTTTTCTCTTTTTCTCTAAAAGTGTATTCTCTAAAATATAATGAAATGCTCAGTATGCATGTCAGAAATATACAGTAGGGTTTGTTCCTTACATAATGAACATGTAGAAGACTATTTCAAATTACTTAGGCTACTTAGCAATGCATTATACCAACACTACCTACCTTAATAATACCAAAAATTATTTATCAAAAATTACCACACCTCACTTTTTTTCATTTAAACATCCCCTCTTTTTTTGCATAGGTAAATGGAAGGAGCCTTTCCATCACGACCCATGACCAAGCAGTAGAGGCTTTCCAAGCAGCCAAAGACCCCATTGAGGTCAAGGTACTGCGCAGGCCTGTGCACAAGACTCTCAATACTCATGAACCAGCCCAAAGGGTGGACAACAGTACTCAGACCAATGTTACAATGAAATATATGAAACATATAGAGACTATGGCAAAGTTACCGTCACCTCCGGCACCACTGTGTATGGCTGTGCTGGACAGTTTCCATTCACCCTCACAGTAAGTGCTAGTCAGCATTTCTTTGCCCAGTTTTATCATAAGTTGAGATCCATCATAACTTGAGTTTTTCAGATTTGCTGTGAACGAGGTTTCAGTTAATGTTCATTTTTCATTATACTGAAGGTGCCAAATGGCAAGACGTGACTCGACTTACTCCACAGACTTGCATGATGGCGTACAGAAAGACATTGAGAGTAGTGGACTGGAATATGAGGTATTGTGTTGGCATAGACTGTATTCATTCTAGAGATATGAGGTCATTTTAATTTTGATTTCATTTACTTTCTAATATTTTCCCAAGACCTCTTTAATTTCACATGGATTTACTATGCAAATGAATGAGCTATCGTAAGAGCAGCAAGCACTATAAAATTCTCAGAAATGCTTTTGCTTATGTTTTATATTACCAATAATTAAAATGGTAACTCTTTGCCATCCAAATAAATAATCTGTGTTTTCATAGGAAGTGGATCTGCAGAGGAAAACTACTAATGATAAGCTTGGCCTGATGTTATGTTACAAAACTGATGACGAGACGACTGCAATTTTTATTAGTGAGGTAGGGTTCTTAAGTAGGAATTTATCAGGACAGCAATCGATCAGGCAATTTTTGTCCGCAAGTCCAATTACACCTTGCAATTTCTAAAGCTTGCTCAGTGCAGCTTTAGGTATTTCCAGTGTTTCACGGATCAAATGTTAAGGCTAAATACACTGTTCTTACCATGCTTAGATTGCCCCAGAAGGAATTGCAGCAAAGGATGGCAGACTCCAGGAAGGAGATCAGATCATACAGGTAGACTTTATTCCACATTCATTTTTGGTTTGGAATACTTTGACTAAAACATAAAATCGATTTTACTTTTCACATGTTGAAGATCAATGGAGTGAAAATCCAGAGCCATGAGGAGGCAGTGACACTTCTGACCGAGGCGGAGAGTAAGAATGTGACCCTCCTGGTGGCTCGACCAGAAAGTCAGGTCTGTGAACTGTTGTGAACTTGCAGATGATTTTGGTAAACTTAATTTGATTTATGTCAGGGGTTTCCAATCCTGCTCCTCTAGGACGACCTTTTTGCAAGGTTTAGCTCCAACCCAATTTAAACACCTGAACCAACTTCCAAGGTGGCCCTCCAGAAGAAGGTTTGGAGACCCCCCAAGTAAAAGAATGACTACATTTTTGGTTTGGGTTACAGGATGTTAGCTGGTTGGAGAAGGATCGAAACAACTTGGCAGATGACTTGCACACGGGCATGCTGGAGCAACAGCATAACAAGGTCAGGGAGTTCACTGCAACAGATAAGTTAATGAGGGTCAAGTCAACAGTAAATAGCTTCTTTGATCCAACTAAAGGTGATAACATCACTACAGTGATTTGCAAGCCATTAAAACATCTTCCCACTCACTTTAACAGAGCACACATGAAGAAGATGGAGGCACTACTGATACGGCAACCTTACAGTCCAACCATCACGAGAAAGACAGTGGCGTTGGCCGCACTGATGAAAGCACTCGTAATGATGAAAGCTCAGAGCAGGACAACTTAGGAGATGACCAGAATTCCCTTTGTGACACTCTCCCAGAAAACCACAAGACGTATAGTCAAGGCACTTTTGAAAGTGGGGACATGCACTTAAGCAATGACTCCTTCCTTTTAGTTGACAATGGAGACAGTGGAAACTTCCTTGGCATACCTGGAATGGCATGTGAACGTTTCCAGAAACAGCTTGAACTGAAATGCCTGGTCAATGGTAGTGGTCTTCAGGGATTTCTGGAGCATGACAACACACTATATGGAAAGAGGGTTAGTGTAGACTGTGATGATCAGGAGGTTCAGATGCTTAATGAGGAGTTGCTGAACATTGAGCTGGAGTGCCTGAGTATCATACGAGCACACAGGCTTCAGACTGAAGGTGATGATCGGCAAGCCAAAAAATGCTGCACCAAGCATTTAACTGAGCAAATAAATACTAAAGTCGATCAGGACCTCATTAATAACCAGGTTGACTACGAAGGCTCTACTAGTGCTTACAACACCGGAGAGAGCTGTTGGAGCTTACATCCTGCTCTGGAGTCAGATTCTCCTGACTCCCAAAGGATGGCTCCTGGAGACAAGAGTAAAGGTTCTCCCATGCATAGACGCAACTCTACAACAGCTTGCTCCAAGCATCAACTCTCTCCTATTCAGGAGATCAGCCCCACCAAGAGTTTACCTGGAGATCCAGAGGTCACGAATCAGGGGGGAAGAAAGCAGAGTAAGAAAAGGAACCCTTCATTGCACCATTCTTCACACAAGAAAGCCTACATCCCAGCCCATGCTCAACATTACCAAAGCTACATGCAACTTATCCAGCAGAGTTCGGCTGTGGAGTACGTCCAGAGTCAAGTCAGCTTGGCCAGCCTAGAAACCACTCCCACTAAAGCCCGGCCCAAGATGGGGTGGAGAGTAAAGATCCGTGGCGATGGAACAAGGTACATCACCAAAAGGCCCATCAGGGATCAGCTACTGAAAGAGCGTGCTTTGCGCATTCGGGAAGAACGCTGCAGCGCAACTACAGATGACGATGCAACGAGTGAACTAAAGCTGGGTCGATACTGGAACAAGGAGGAGCGCAAACAGCATGCGGCACTAGCCAGGGAACAGCGTCAACGGCGTGAACTCGTCAAGCAGTGCCACTTGGAGAACAAGGGACAAACAGGAGCAATGAACGACAAGGAGAAGCCTGATATTATCCAGCTTAGCCGTAAAAAGATGCTGAAAAGGAGGAACAAGAGGATATTTGACAGCTGGATGACCATTCAGGAGCTGCTGACACATGGCACAAAGTCCACAGATGGGAATAGACTCTATAATTCCTTCCTTTCTGTGACTACAGTGTAAAGGATTTTTTTGGTTTCGGGCACTTGTTTACTGTGTAAAATTGTGTGCGGGTGTTTGTGGGAAATCTTGCCTCATTTTAAGGAGGTGGGTCATTTAGGTACTTAATACAAATCTATAGCTGTGTTTCCACCGCAGGAACTTTCCCCAGGAACTAGGAACTTTGGGGCAGGATTGAACCAGGGTCTAAATGAAGCCCCCCCCCCCCCCCCCCCAGTCCCTGCTGGCAAGGTAGTACTTTTTCAGAGTTCGGGAACTTTTGGGGTGGGACTTGTGCGCTGAACATGCAGATTGGTTCTTACCACTTGTTCTTTCTGCCTGATGGCGAGCGTTCGTACCATCCATCAATGACCGCTGATAACAAACGTCTACTTTTATATAGCATTATGAGCTTTCTAAATACGTTTTGGGTGCTCGTCTCTTTTCTGCCATTTTGTTAATTACCTCGTTAGTAAACCAATCGCACACAAAAGCAGCAAAGCTTGAATTTCCTCTAAACAAAACTCAAAACAAACACGCAGACTGGGGGGAGCAGTCGCACGCAGTTCAACATCACTAATCTTTCCGGGCCGATACTTTAGTCCACGGTGTAAACGCAGTAAGCAAGCAGTCTGGGGCAAAACAATGTTTCTATGAAAAAAGTTCCTGGGACAAAATAGTTCCTGGTAATTGCGGTGGAAACGCGGCTTATGGAGATTTTTGTGATGCAACAGTTGGGAGTACACAATGATGTGGAAACAAAGTACTCAGGGATGTGATTTTTCCGGATTAATCCGGAATTCCGGATTTTCCGACCTGAAAATGTGACCTACGTGAATCATGCAGATCTGTAAAAAAAAAAAAAAAAAAAAGAGGGGGGCGGGTGTCGGCAGCCGGAGTGAAAAGGTGAGAGTATACGAGGACATAACCCATAACTGGCTGACGTGCGTATTTGCGTTCAGCCAGAGAATGTCTAATTGGTTCAGCTTGTTCACCTGCTCAATTTCGTATCTCTAGTCGCTCTCGCGCTGGTATCGTTGTTAGTTGACAACAACATCACAGTTAGGTCACCAGGGCTGGGCGATATATCGATATATTTCAAATTTGCGTTATGATCCTTGCTCCAAGCAAGCTGCTGAATGCTTTTGTAGAAATATGTAGCACTAGCAGCTATATCGTGCATTCTGTCAGTTGCAGTCCTGACACCTCCGTCTCAACAGCATTAGTGTACAACGCGACAAATACTCGCAATATTAACGCAGAGGAACGGCTGTCTGTTCAGCGAGTTCACAAAAGTTAATTTGCATGTGCTTTAAAGCCTTGCAGGTTAAACATGTCATTCACTGCTGATACGCTGTTCTGAGCGCGAACACCCGACGTGCACATGCACTAAAAGCTTGCCTAACAGCGCCTGGTTGCTGAACTAAGTTATCTTTCGAGTATTATTTCGCTAATACTCTCAAATACACACAAGGTTTACATAAGAACATTTGGTTATGTCTAAATTCAAAGCAAATTGAGAGAAATCTGCTTGTCAAATGCTCCGTGTAGGCTATATTAGACGTGTCGCGTACAGGTCTTAAAGTGACAGTAGCCCTAATAATAAAAATGCAGCCGCTTGTTCTTAAAGGGATAGTTGACCCCAAAATAAAAATTCTGTCATTATTTACTCACTGTAATGTTGTTCCAAACCTGTATTAATTTATTTCATGTGCTGAACAAAAAAGAAGATATTTTGAAGAATGTGGGTAACCAGACAGTTGCTGGTCCCCATTGACTTCCATAGGGAAAAATTTACTACGGAAATCACTGGGGTACATCAACATTCTTGGTTACCGACATTCTTCCAAATAACTTAAATAACTTGAACAGAAGAAAGAAACTTTTTCAGGTTTAAAACAACTTGAGAGAGTAAATGATGAAAATTATTTTTTTGGGAGAACTATCTATAATTTAATGTTAATTAAATAACAAACACAGAGGAAATCACTCACTGCTCTTGACTGAGAACTGTAATAGTAGCTTTAATAAGAATCAATGTATAATTTATACAGTGAAGACTATATTTGACTTTGATTGAACATTTGCTCTCACTTTGCGGAAAAGATATTGTGATATATATTGATCGGTGGTGGGGGGGGGGTAGGTACATTTTCCTGCTTTTTGTCCTTAGCCAATCACATGCCTGAGTACTGATTTCATGTTTTAATAATTGAGCCCGCTCCAAAAAATTGACATCAGTTTATATATGAATTTTTTTATTGAATGACTGATCATAGTTTTTCCAAGAATTGATTCATTTGAAGTAAAATTCTAACTCTAGTTTGCAGTTACTGCCCATTACTCGCACATCGGTTACGTGTTAAACGTGATGGCTAATTAGGTTTCACTTCCCAAATATTACAGTGCAAATGAATTGTGTCTTTGACCCGATTATTCCAAAGAGTTTTATTCAGATAAAAGTTTAGAAATGCCTCAGATTAAGCATACCGCTGCTTTTAACGTGAACCTTTATTGCTCTTCAGGAATACTGTTGAAAGCCCAAGCATTCAGTTCACATGGAGTTCATACAATTTCACTTTTCACAAAAGCAGTGAACACATCATAATCTACAAAATCTAATTTAAAAATTCTACATATCAAAAAGGAGCTGTGGAAATAAGTATGGGGAGGAGGGTATACATGCCTGTAGGAAGCATGTAAAGTATTTTAAGAGATGTGGGTGTTGACAGTGTTGCTCATTTAAACCTTCATACAAATGTTTGCCATTGTTTGATGAAACAAAATGAAAAGCTTATGACAAATAAGGATGGCTCAATAGTGGTTAAGCACATTATGTCGGTTGAAAAGACAGGCTCACTATATTAAGTTACACATTGCAACCAACAGCACTCAAGTATCTAGTGCATGGAAAATCACATTAGTCCATTTTAGAATCTATTTACCAGCATCAGTGGATTAATACATTTCGGTGCTATGCTGGGAAGGCAGTTAAAATCAAAGAATCTAAAAATAAAAGAAAAAGGAAATCTGTCTAATTCTGCTATTGAGCACTTGGTGCTTCAAGCCAGCAGATGAATACAGAAGGCAATTTGGGAGAAAAGGGGTGTTCTCCTGGAATGTTTAGACTGGTCTGTCTGTCAACGGGAATCCTGAGATCATTCGTTGACTATTCAAAACTAAAAGGAAGTGCCCCTACAAACATGTGCACACATTCACACAAATTCATTTGCCACATTTTCCCTCGTAGAAGAACAGGAGAAAGACTGACGTGAAGCGAAAGGTGTCGAGTTGATAGACGCTCGTGATTAGAACAGGATTACAGAAAACGGCCATGTACGCAAGGCTTTCTTGTTATTCGATGGCAAATGCTCCACTAAACCACCAGAAAGATGAGCTTCCAGTTTTTGAAGTTGAACCCATATTAAGTCAAGATGCCCTGAGAAGGGTCATAAGGAGGAGATGTTTTCACGAGAGGTCTTTAGGGACGTCACCGGATGCCCTCCTCTCCTGGTCTATAAAGGATCTGCTAAACTTGCAGGATAAGTGATTTTCGGGGTGTTTGTACAGTAGAGTGTAAAAAAAACCGCTTCAGTCTTGCTCCATGGTGTCACCTGCAGTCTCTGAGCTGTCTGAAGTGATTTCTGCAGTAGTACTGCCCTCTGCTGTCGGCTCTGTGGAACTGCTGGGACATGCAGATCGAGTCTCTGCGCTGGACACTCCCTCGTCACTGCTGTTATTGCTGCTACTGCTGCTGCTGCTGCTGACTGGGTCGTATTTCTCCTCGGTGCCCTCTTCCCTCTCAGGCTGCTGCTCTGATAGGTCCGATTCGCTGGCGGTCGCCTGACTGTGGGAGGGGTCGGGGGAATCTTCCGAAGCAGATTTGTCAACCCCGTTTTCTACGACCTCTGACTGTGTACTGGAGGGTTCTGTAGAGAGAGGAGCAGAAAATGTCATGTATGCAAACAGCTGCTGATATGCAAAGATATAATATATTAGCACAGCAGTTACTCAACATGACCAAGCTGCTTGAAATAAAACAATTTATACATGCGACTTATTTTATACTGATATACTTGTAGTTTATTTTATACTGATATACTTGTAGTTTGATCATTTGTTCTTATTTTCTTGTTTTATTTATTTGCTAGCAGTCATTTCCCCCCCGAACCGTACCGAAACCGTGACCCTAAAGCCATGATAAATTTGAACGCAGGATGTTAGAAAAGGACATACCTTGGTCTTCAGCGACAAATTTGTCAGGTTTATTATCCTTCACCTCCGCAGTGACGTCTGATGAGGACTGCGGTAGATCCGATGAGCTCTCTGCTATTGATATGCAGGACAACGGCTTTTCACCTGGTTCTTTCTCCATCCCATCTTCATCATCATCATCTTCCTCTTTGTCAAACTTGAGTCTCTTTGCTTCAGGTGTTTCAGGATTCGTTGCATCTTCATCTTCACAATGTTTACTCTTCACTGGACCAACGTGTGAACAGTCTGCTTCTGATGCTGAAGACTCACTAAAAAAAAATATATATATATATATATATAAAAACATTATATTTGAAATTTTCTTCTTTAATGATGATTTTTATCAGACTTGTATATTTAAGTTCAGTAATTTCACTTAAATTACAATTAATAGGTAATTATCATTGCCATTTAAGTGAAATCACTGAACTTAAATATACAAGCTTGATAAAAATGATCATTATAGAAGAAAATTTCAAATGGCACTTAGAGGCTTTTGCATCTGAACTCTTCATATACGTATATAATGTGTGTGTGTGAAGTCGCAGTGACGGAAACAGTGACATTCCAATTTAAGTTTGAAGGGAGTAAAGCCTGCGTTTAAGCTATTAAGGGAATGTAATTTTGCCAAAGAAGACTTACATTTAAGATCAACCTACTATAATGTAATATGTTACCATATCATCACGCTTAACACTGAGAATTGGAATAATGTGACGATCAGATGCGATATCTAAATCAGAGACAATCATAGGTTCGGCTGTGTGGCGCGTGGATGATTTATTTTTAGCAGCAGATTCAGGTGACGTTAGAGCTGATCCATGCATCTCTAATGCACACACTGGCATTTGGGACTTACTTGACCGTTCTCTCTGATTCCTCAGAGGCCTGTTCTTTGCTTTCTGTGCTGTCAGGAAGGCCGTTGGTGGCTACACTGCTGGACAAGGAGAGTTTTGGTCTGTTCAGTGGCCTGGGTGTTCCTGGACCATTCACATTTCTATCACAGACAATCAAAGGCACATCAAAATCAGGTACATCTAGTCTCTCTTTACAGTGAGCAATAACATTTCAAACTCAATTAGTTTAGTGACTAATAAGGCGGTTTTCAAAGTTTCCACAATGGTGGTTTAAGTGAAACTCACCTATCTGGAGGGAACATGACACCATTCATTCTGTTCACACAACCTGACCCTTTTTTCCTTTAAAAAAAGATGCATAATAGTATTAAATACAGCAGAACGATTCTAAAAACATTACAAGAATGACTAAAAGCTGATATTAAAAGCTGCCCAAAATAGAGCAGAAAGAGAGTTTAACTCACTCTGAGGAAGGATACACACAACTGACCACCATCACATTCTGAGAAAAAAAAAATAAAAAATTTAATCTTCCTCAATTATCAACTTAAAAAAAAACACACACACACAAAATAACACAACATACCTTCTCCACACCCCTGAGGAACTTTTCTGTTCCTGCGTAGTTTCTTTTTGGCTCAGTAAGAAGCTCACAAAGACGCTGAATTGTGAAAGGAATCCTAAAGCAAAAAATCATTTTCAATTTTAATATTTTCACACAGGGATGAAAACAACTAGGGCTGGGAATCACCAAAAGGCCCCACGATACAATATCATTGTGATTCTTAAGCCACAATAAATTATTGTGATTTTAAACATTTTGCGTCATGCTGAGTATTACAGTGAAATGCATTAAGATTACCTTTTCTCAACTGCAAATGTCCCCAAAGGAAAACTTTGTCCATATACGTTTTTATCTAACAAGATAAAGTTCTCATCTTCATATCCATCTCCTTCGTTCAATTTTTTCCTTCCTCAAATTTTAGACATTTTAATAGAAATTACAGTTGTCAAATTAATTGTCAAAAGCCAATGTATTTGTTTTTAAAATACAAATTAAGTGAATGTGCTTCCTTAAAACACTGCTCACTGTGCCTCTCCGAGAGAGAAATTATTTACTTTTTACAAATTGTTATTATGTCCCGCATTTATGCACAATAATCGCAATCCTGAGCTAAAAAGCAGGCGCTAAATCAATTAATACTTGGCCTCCATTTGTCAATAATATAACCCCACTCAAAATAACAAGATTACGCTGTATCGATGTTTTTCCCCACCTCGAACTGTGAAATATGTCAGCCGTCTCTTACCCATTGTATCCGTTGACGATTTTGAGAATCCTCTGCTTCATCTCCTCAAAGGGAATGTACTCAACGTTAGGATTGGCAGGTCCTCGTTGCTCTGGACACGAGGCTTTAAAATCATCCATCACTTTCTCCAGTTTGAAGAGGAAGTAGTTTTTAAACTGAGACCACTGAATGCTGAGGAAAGTTGTAAATGATTAAATAAAGAAAATTAGAAACTTCTCTATTCTAATAGTTTTACTCTCACAACACACTCTGAATGAGTAAAGTCGTGTTTGAAAATTGCGATTGCCTTTTCTGCTCCATTGTGACGTATATATCCAAGCTTAACAGCTTCTCGAAAAGAAACGTAGGGCGAGACGTCAGAATTGAACAGTTGTTGTTTTCGAATTGATGCGATCTCTTGTGAGTGGCAGGATTATTATTTTCGCCTTCACACCAGTGCAACCTGTCACTCACATGAGATCAACCAATAGCAAACCACGACCATCCAATCAATTCCCCATAGACAAAATCAAGTCCTGACCAACATTTTTTCTTGTTTAATTGAAGCAGTTTCAATGGTATATACACGTCACAACAGGGAAGAAAAGACTATAGAGAATGTAAAGATGACATCACAGCCTGTCTTTAGACCCCATATATCGACCCCTTTCCCCTATAGACCCCTTTTTGCTAAGGTAGTGTGATTGTGAAATATGTCACCATTGCATGGAGACATGCCATATTAAACTGGCATCATCGTTCAGTGAGAAAACTGGACAACACTATACCTTTTTCACCTTTTCTACATGTAAAAACACTATGGGAAGCAAGTTGAGGGGGTGATGGGAAGACGTTGGATATATCTATTAACATGGTCACTGATTAAACCCATTGAATAACAATAAAATAATCACATTGCTGAGTGTTTTTGAAAGTTTTGTTTTTGTTTGCGGATATGACTGTTGCAGTTTGCCGGCTTGTGAATGTGAATTAGCAGAACTTGCACACAGCCACTACAAAACAGGTTACAAACTTCTAGGGATTGACTTTGGCTGTCTAGTGTAGAAATAAAAATAAAAAAAACAGTCTGTGTCAGTGTCTGTCCACTGAATGTGACCCAGATTCTCAGATTCCCCATCATGACCATGGGAAAGTGAATATTTACAATGACAACAATAAAACTTGTTACACTTAAACGTTTCAAAATAAAATATGGATAGACTTCTTTCAGCTTGTTGAACACATTGTTGTTGACTTTTATAATCCCCGTGGTAAAATTAATTAAGTCGAAAGTCGAGCAGTACAATAAATAAAATCGTGCATTGGACTAAAAGCACAAAAGACTGCTATACAAGTTTTATTCTGCGTGAACATATCCATATATTATTTTTAATCAATGTAGAATTTCTATATCTCACTTTGTTGAAATGATAATTACTCTTTTATGAGTTAAACATCATTAAGGAAAACAACAAATGGTATTAATTTGTTTATTAATTTCAGTATGTAGCATACTAGATCCACTAAAGATCGAGGCACCGCCCCAGAATGCAATGCGTTGTGATGTAACTTTCTCCATTGCTATTTCTATTTCATGCTGACTTTAAAATACTTGTGAATAAAGCAATATTCTCTCTCTCTTTGAGAGTGTTGGACTTACATGGTCTCTCCTGTTCTCGCAACATGGGATAGAAACTGGTCCAAAATCGGGCAGGTTTCTTTTTCTCCTTTCTTCTCGAAATCTACAGTGAACAGAGTAAACAATAGTGCTTCATTAATATCATGTGAAATGTTTCTTTCGTACTATTGTGTTTTTCAAAATGACTGACATTTTGTTTTACTGTCATTGCCTGTCATCGCTTGTAGTGTGCGTTCACGCGGTTATTTTGTATAAAAAATGACAATAAAGTACTTTAAAATTGACATTTCTGCTCCAGACACCTCTACAAAGTTAAATCACACAAATAAGCGCCCGACAAACTTTTTTTGCTGACTATGCAGCCAAGTTAATGCAAGTAAGAAGTTTCAGACAGAGTAAATAAGCGACTGAACCAGTGTATTCTGTGCTCACATAACAACAGTGTGGCTCACAGCTAACCGGCTTTCTATCTGTTCCCGTGTAGCAGAGGACTTTATCAACTTCCAACGTGGTACATCTACAAGATCAACTCATAGACATTATCTTTGTATTGTTGAGAATCGATCGATATCGATTATTAGTGACATTTAAAGCTTTTCCGGCAAGACCAGCACCTAGCATTGGCTGCTAGTTTGATTTACTAGCTTAGCTTACAAGCTAACGAATTTGCCAAACCTTTTCTGTTATTCATTATTTGTTAGCGGTACCTCGAAATGCTTCCAGAAGTGTATCGATTTCCATTGTGGAGGTATGTTTGCTACACTCTGGTCTCTCTGAGTCCAGCTGGAAACAGAAAGATGGCAACAGCGACACAGAGAAAACAGCAGCAAATCTTTAATATGGCGTCGGTGACGTCACTACCCAAATGCTGTTACTGAGCATGCGCCAGGTCTGGATGTTTATGAAAACTGTTCTTTTTGCAAAGACCAAGAAACAAGTTTGTTGTTAATTTGTTTCATATCACTCTGTAAATCCTATGCACCAGTCTACGTCAAATAAAACGTCGAAGGTTATATAATAAGCAGACCTTGTAACATCTGTACTGTCATATTTAGACTTAGTTAGAGGCAGTGATTTATCAGTCTAGAAAGAACATAATAAAGCAGTTCTGTTTTTGTTTTGTTTTATCTTTTATGTATTGCTTATGAGGTTGCATGAAATGTCATTGAAGAGTAACTAAATAATAGCATAAGAATTTTGGATCTCACAATTTATAGTCAAATGAAGTCAAATGGTTAATATTAACAGATATGTAATTAATTTAGTAAAATAGAATAATGAATATGTCTAAATGTATTTGCAAGATACTGTCAATTAAAAGGTGACCAGAGGGATGCAGACAGTGTATGCACCAAAAAAGTATTTTATAGCCTATAGGCGATATAAGTTAATTGTTACTTATGAGAATATGCCCATCATGTGTCTTACCTTTACAACCAACATTTATCTTTTTAATAGTGTTTTCTCTTCTGTGTTACATCTAAACTTTCTATAAGTTCTTTATTAAAATTGCTTGTCGGTGATCCAACAAATAGAGCTTACACAAATAGAAACATATATACATACACACACACACACATGCATGCGTACGTCCATTCACCATGATACATAAATAGACGCATGCACATACATACATACACGCATGCATACATACATACGTACATAAATTCATACATACATACAGTACATAAATACATGCATACATACATGCAAACGACATCTGAATTCTCATAGAGTGCTAAAAAGAGTATATGGATCTGATCTGATTTTGCTGTCATTTTCTAATCTACTACTTTCTTCGTCTGAAGTTACGTGCAAAATCTGATGATGATGATTTGAGATGATCCAGATTGCATCTTGTGCTTCAATAGAAGCAAGAAAATCTGACTTTTGTGCTAAGACACAAGATCAATGGCACATTTACTCATTTAGTTAGGGAGTTAAAAATTTATTTTTCAAGTTACTGTATATCAAAATCATGTTTTTCTGCAGACAAACCAGACTGGGAGACCAACTACAACCAGCAAATCAACTTAGACAGGTTTGAGCTGTGTTTTTTTTATTTTATATATATATATATATATATATATATATAGCCTATATTTATTTTTGCTCATTTCCAAATTTTACATTTATAAACTATTACATTACATTTTGATTCCCAATTTTTTTTAATTTCATTGTGGACTTAATTGGACTTCACTCTATATCCTGAAGGCGACATGGAATAATTTATTTATTTATTTGTTTGTTTGTTTGTTATGTAGCTGCATAGGTTACAATAAAAGTATGCTGTATATAATTTTCCAATGAGCACATTTCTTTCTAAAACATAAGACTTTTAACCCTGCGGAGGCTGTGATTGGCTCAGGGCGAGACCACGTGACGGACCGACGCCTCGCGCTGCAGCGGTCAGCGAGTGCAAGTGTGCGATAACAGCAGCAGCGGCTCTGTCTGGAGCTCACACTGTACATTACAGAAGCCCCCTCCTCTGGAAGACGGTGTTTCTCCCATTATGGGCGACAAGAAAAGCCCATCCAGGTATAGAAACATCTAATTTCCTCTGTCTTTTCATAAAGCATCTTGCGCGTTTGTGTACATTGAAGAACAGCCGCGTAGTGCGGTTAAAGTCTACTTATTTTTCCTGGTCGGATTTAACGGAAAAAAAAGCGCAGCCATGGCGGATACGAAGCCTTGCCTGACTCCCGGTATCCAGCTTTAGACAAAGGGAATTTAGGAAACGCCTCCTCTCTTCTTCGTTCTTCGCCTTTTTTCAACAGATAAAGCCCTTTTATTCTTTAGGCGTGCAAAATCGTCAAATTGCAAGTGTTATTGTGTGGTTGTAAAGGACAGGCGTCTTCTACGACAGCACGCAGAATTAAGTGCATATGATGATGACACTCGCACTAATTAGGGTGCAGCATGCTATTTAAATACCCTAACCATTTCCTCTTTAATTCTTGCAGGCCAAAAAGACAAGCCAAGCCCTCTGCAGACAACGGATTTTGGGACTGTAGCGTCTGCACCTTCAAAAACAGTGCAGAGGCATTCAAATGCAGTATATGTGATGTGCGGAAAGGTACATCTACAAGGTAAAGTGACACTGCAGCTTGTAAGAGGGAGTTAGGCATTTATAGCCATCATAAACACATTGCACATGCATGCAGCGAGGATGTCAAAATTGATATTAAGGCTTGTTGTTGTGGATTGTGTCTTTATCCATGCTGACGTCATTTGATTCCTGTAGAATTTCAATGACACTCTCTAGGACAGGATCCGGCTGGTATGGAAGTGTCCTGGTCTGTGCGCAGGGCCCCATTATATGATCCTATAGGAAATGAAATGCTGCATTAAGCATCTGATTTGTAAGTGCAGCGTTATTGTTTTGTTACGCTGAGCTGTTTGTTCAGTACTGTGCAAAATATCAAACACCCTGCAGATTTATATACCGCTGTGGTCACTAATGCACTGATGCTATTATATTAGTAATGTTATGTGCTTGAATTTAGGGTACGATGTAGGAAAGATGTAGGAAAGGGGTCTGTCTGGGAAAAAAAAGGATGCATTTAAAAAATGTTGGAGTTGATCATTAGCATGTGTGTAATTATTTTGCTAAGCAAAGCACAGATGGTAGTGTATAATTATGCGAGCTGTTTTAAATGTCCCAATAGTGGATAATGAGATACAGTGGGGATATTTCTGACTCTTTTTCTAGGTCACTATATCAAATAAGTGGCATTGAACATGTGAACGGTTCTGTACAAAATATCAGAAACATTAGGTTCTTTCCTGAGCATTCTCAAAAAAAAAAAATTCTCTTTATTCAAATTTTATGCTGACAATTCTAATAAAAATATTGTATAAATGTGTTATATGCTTAAAAATGAGGGTATTAATTCGCCAGTGGTCTCAGACTTTTAAACCCCAGTAAATTTGCAGTTTTTCATCTTTCATGTTTTTCAAAGGATTGCTCTGATCATGAAGGAAACACCATATCCGTTTAAGTTTTGCTCCATTACCACGTGGGATGAATGTGGCTCTATCGCAGGTGTTTATATCTCTGTCAAAGTGACAGTCTTTTCATGTATTTTGTGTACGATGTGAAGTATGCAGGCATCTCCTCTCGGCATAAATTGCCTGCTTGAATGTTGATTTTCTAGCTTTGTTGAAGCAACAGGATAAGTCCGTGCTCTCTTGTAGAGAGGTTGTTTGATGATGCCGTTCTGCTGTGACTGAGAGTGAGTGTCATCTACACCAGAGCAGCAACAGCTGAGGGTAATTTCCCTACCGATTGCCGGTTATTCAGAATGATATCTGACGATACTGATACAGATGGTTTAATTTTCTTAAAGGGTTGGTTCACCAAACAATGCTGTAATTTATCCCATCCCATTATTTATTCACCTTCAAACCACCCAAGGTGTATGTGACTTTATTCTTTCATCCAAACACATTTGGAGTTATAGTAAAAATTATCCTGGCTCTTCCAAGCTGTATAATGCTTGGTATTTTCATGTATCATGCATGTTGAAAAGCTGTAAAGCTGCTTTGAAACAATATGTATTGTGAAAAGCGCTATACAAATCAATTTGAATTGAATTATAATGGGAGGGTATGGTAACTTTTGAAGTGCAAAAAAGCGCATCTATCCATCATAAAAGTAATTCATATGACGATAGTGGGTTAATAAATGCCTTCTGAAGCGAAGCCATGCAGAAAATATCCATATTTATAACTTTATTAAAGCTACAATACCTAAGTTTTTATTCCGGCTAGAGGGCGCTATATATTCAAAACACCAACAACGGCTTTGCCTGATGACGCCGTGGAGGAACGCGGAATGATGGGAACTGTTGTTTTCAACTCCACCGTGGATAAATCAGTCAGACGGGAATCAAAAATTAGTTGTCATGGATGAGGTAAAGTTCGATTTCTATAACTGTTGTGTTTAATGACACGCTTTTTTTTAATAAAACTGACATAACCGCAAGAAAAGTAACGTTTAAAAGTAAATTAGTTATCACAGATGTTAGGGTAGAGCCGGGACGGTTGAAACACTTTTCAGATAAACGTCGTTTTCTAAGATACAGCCAACAGTTCACATTAGTATTCGCGGTGAATATGACCTTACGATTTTTCACATCATATACAACAAGACATTCTAGCGATAATACTAATTGTTTTGCATCGTTTACTGACATGAAATTTGAATACAGAACACGAAGTTACTCAGCTGTCAAGTAAAACACATGCAAGATTGACGTGTCTTTCTAGTTAGAGTTTTTCACGAAGTTCTCTCCATTTAGGAAATGCCACACCGATGTTGAGCTGGTTTTATTTCTCTTGTCCCAAATTCTTCTTGGGTCGTTTGGTTGACCCGTTCGTTGACGTTTGCGTTTATGAGACTTGTCTTTGTAGACAGAACCAGGTGCAATCGCTAAAGAATAATTGTGCTCCATTCCATAACAAATGCGCGAAACAAGCCGACGTTTGTGGCTTGATAGATGCTAACTCACAACTACAACTTCCGCATTTGTCCAGGACTACACGCAGTACGAGCGGAAACTGAGGTAATGCGGAAATAACGCGATTTACTGGCGACTCCCAGCTCACCCCTGCTCACACGCCCCGTTTCCTTGGTTAAAATCTCAATTTTCTCGCGATTTAAACATTGTTTCAAACATTTGGAATATTGTGAGTTATCATCTTAACTAAATATATAACACTGGCCTTTTAATTTAATTTTAATGCAAAAATCTTAGGTATTCCACCTTTAACTATATTGGCTTCTGGTAACAAGCGTACGTGAGTCTAGTGTCAGCGGAAGAGTGAACTCTGACCCGACACATGACGTTTGAGGCACGAGTAGCGTAAGCTTAGGTTGACAGGTGTTTTGTTTTACTCTATCCTCTGGGCAATGTGTCGGGTTAGGGGTCGTCACCCTGCAGCCGCAAAAAGCTAGTTATTATTATAGCTAATGCAGTTTTAAATATGAATATTTTTCTTACACAAACATATCAATTCGCTTCACAAAGCCTTTATTAACCCTTTGGAGCCGTATTGATTATTATTTAGGATGGATGGATGCACTTTTTTGGGCTTCATAATCTCCCCCCCCCCCCCCCCATTCACTACCATTATAAAGCTTGGAAAAGCCAGGATATTTTTAAATATAACTCCGATTGTGTTTGTCTAAAAGAAGATAGTCATACACCTAGGATGGCTTGAGGGTGAGTAAATCATGGGATAATTTACGTTTTTGGGTGAACAATCCCTTTAAGTGACATTATTCACAAGCTGCTTTACTGATGTCTTTCCGCGGTTGAAACACTGATTGAGCGATTACATGAGGCATGAGACATTTCGGTAAGTTGTATTGTATCTTTTAACATGTCTTCGAGCCAGACCAATATATCGGCAGGCCGATATTATCGGCCGATATTAGGCATTTTCCAAACTATTGTATCGGCAGCTATAATGGCCGATAAATGAATATTTCAAAAATATAATAAAAACGGACGTCGGACGAAACATGCTTCAACCACGTCATGAGTGTTGAAGTTGTATAGTCATCGGTGAAGTGTGTTCATGGTGAGTTGGTCACGAGACATACATTACTTGAATAACAATTAAAAGAACATCTCCATCAGTTCTCTTAACTCAAATAAGCATGACAAAATGTGTGACTATCATGTCCAGTTTTGCTGCTGTTACATAAGCCGAGAGTGAAGTGGAATCAGCTAGTAATACTTACGTTACGTTGTTACAGTGTAGTTGACTGACTGTCCTTTTAACTTTTAACTTTTGACAATGTGACTGAAGTATTTCTTTAATAGCAAGTGACGGTTATAGCAATGAGATGTATCATCTCTCCTCGGCCTGTTTTATTGAAAATGTATGTTTTACAATTTGCAGCATGACGCTATCCATTGCTAAATTATGACTCATCATAGACTAGCTAACCACAAAGCTAGCTAATGCCACTATCATCAGTGGAAGGCCGCTAACATTAACATTAATGAGCTTTGGTTCCTCTGTTCTGTTGCAACAATGAAAGGAAACTAGTTTCTTTTTAAAATGCTTTAACATATTATTTTAGTTAAAACTCATACATAACTAATGTTAGGGAAATCTGTTAATGTTTTGTTGCTCGTTTCTGAAAAAAAAAAAAATATCGGCCGATATATCGGAATATCGGATTTTAAAACCAACAAATATTCGTATCGGTCTTCAAAATCCTTTATCGGTCGGGCTCTCATGTCTTTGGATGTTCATGCATGGTTTGTGCTATAACACGTATTGAAGAGGAAGAGAAGACTCGCGCTCCGGACACTAAAGCAATCTGTCACCTCACATTTAAAGGGTTAGTTCACCTAAAAATTAAAATGATGTCATTAATGACTCACCTTCATGTCGTTCCAAGCCCGTAAGACCTCCGTTAATCTTCGGGACACAGTTTAAGATATTTTAGATTTAGTCCGAGAGTTTTCTGTCCCTTCATTGAAAATGTATGTACGGTACTGTCCTTGTCCAGAAAGGAAATAAAGAGCGGCAAAACACAATTTGTTTAAATTCCGTGATAAAATGGATGGAAATAAAAAGACTTTGTATCGGTAGTAACAAAGCTCTTTGCGATTATTAGATTGGTGGCGCACTAAAAATGATATTTGGTATGGGAAAAACTGAAGCTGGTAACCCTGGCTTGAACTACAGGTGATTCATAGGGTCAAATAGAGCCTGCTTTGTCGCTATTGTTATTGTCACGTTGACTTAGACAGCCCTAGATTCAACACAAGATATTTTCTTCACACACACAGTATGATTTGCAGTTGCAGTTTTTCCACCCCCTTATGATTGACAGAACATCATTGGCTGTTTTAAAACTGGTGGCCGAAAATAATTGGTTGATACATCGGTGCATTCTTAGGACCACACAGAAACAGTATTTTGCTGTAGAGTGGACAACACACCTATAATAATGGTCAAAGTAGTTTTTCAGTTGTCAAACTTTGCTATGGGGATTTTGGCAAAACTCGAAACTGTGATATAACGCCATAATCGCATAATCGGGGGCATAATTTTACCAGTCTAGGTAAAGGACGTTGGACGTTGCAGCAAAGATAATATTTTTATTTGGAAAAACGAACTTTGTTCTTTTAATGAGATTAGAGAATGGAGATAATGTTCTGTCAGTATGAAGTTAAATCTGGAGCAGGTAATATAATTAGAGCATCATAGAGAGCAGCCAGCGGGGTATTATTAACTCAGATCCATGAATATTTACTGTAGTTCTCTCTTAGCTGAAACTCACTCTTTTTTTCAGAGGTAATGTTTCCAGTACACACCCCTCACTCATACTCTTAAAGCAAACTCGGTTGCCTAGAATTGATCTCTCAATGCTTTAATATAGTATTGAGAATATTGAGACATGAAACTCCATCATGTGTTGTAAAATTATTGATAGAATGATATATCCAGCGCTGGATTTGCCTCATATTGTGAAAAAGGCAAAAGCTACTTTTGGACCCCCTCAACCGTCAAACCATATGACCGAAACTACTGACCGCTACTTTTAAAGGAAATAAGTGGGAAAGACACAATTTTTAAAACAAATAATTAAACACTGTGATGTCAAATTTGATAGTGTGTGTCATTATTATATCATTAACACTTTACCAAAATCAAGTTCAAATGAAGTGTTTTTTCTGTGAATTTCTTTTGTCATTAGATCGGCTACATCGGAGGCAGACAGTCCATCGCATACATTTTTATTAGCTTAAAGCTATGAAGAGTATTGTAGCTATGTATGTGGGCACTCGTTTTTACACCGTTTTTCTGTTGTTGATTTTTCTGTCATTTGGCCAAAATCTCACAATATAATGTAGCACTACGCACAGGCCGTTTTGGCTGTGGCTCGATTACAAATGCAAGACACTCTTATCCACTCCTCAAATACATAAAGGATTATATAAAGATATAGTGTTGTTGAGTAAAGAAAATGCTGTATTCAGAGAACCAGTTCTTTATTTACCCGTGCATCGCAAATAAGCAGTGATGCTCCAAACTGCTTGTGGCACTTCATTCAGGATAGAGATGGGGCGGAGTTATGAGGTTTGACTGACAGTTTGAGGAGGTAATGGCGTTATGAGAGTTATGTCACAAGCTCTTTTTTAATATTTCCCATTGGTTAAATATTTGCAAAACCCACAGACAGAGGTAGAGGGTGACCATAGTAATGATTTATGTTAAAAATTGCGATATTTTAAATTCTATTCATTTATAAAGTTATTGTCTTTCATAGTTTTAGCATTAGAGTGAACTAATAAGAAATAAAAAATATAATTTATTTTCATTTGTAGAAGCATAGGCACATGCTTAGAATGCCTCTGCATAAATCCAGCTCTTAATATATTAGCCAAGTCATTTCCATTTTGAGAGTATCTGCTTTGGTCAATAGCATGCCATTTTTCCAAACTAATTTCCATACATCCATTTAATAGTTTTCCTTATTTTTACTATTAAAACTAATATGGAAACTAGTAGTACTTAGTACGTGTGTCCAAAATCTGCTGAACATATTAGGGTGCAGGTAAAATGGGACATGTTAGGTTTTGTATTTAACATTTCATTCATCATTTCTAAAATGGTGTCGTGTTTGGGTTGTCTGGCATCGTATATTAAAACGCCAGTGGCAAAGTAGCAGAAACGGTCCCACTTTACCTGAGTCATAGCACTTGATTTTTTTGTAACATTATCTTTTCCAGAAAACCTAGGATAAACTCTCAACTCGTGGCACAGCAGGTCGCTCAACAGTGCGCCGCCCCACCCCCAGCCAAGAAAGAAAGAAGGGAAAGGACAGACAGACACCTTCCTGACGACGACCACTTCGACATGGACAACTCCGACTCAGATAGACTCAGCAGTCTCCACCCTGACTCCGACCATCCCGAGAGATTAGGTCTGGATGGAGGTCAGCTTGAACGTGGACATTCTCATAAGGATCGGAGACAGGAACGCGGGCTGGACAAACCGCAAATGCTCGATACAGACAGGGGGCCTGAGCGAACAGGACTGACCCCAAACCTTCTTCAGCAGCAGCACAACAGAACAGACCGAGAGCACACGGACAGAGCAATGCTGGAAAAACTTCAGCCTCACAGAGAGCACATGGATAAGGATCATCCTCACACGGCAGACTCTGGAATGCAGCCCGCAGAGAGGATGGGTGCAGAGAGAGACGAAATCAAAAAAGGGAAAATAGAACGAGCCATGGTGGAGAAACCCAAAGAGAGACATAAAAGCCTGACGCCCAGTAAAAAACCCACTGCTAAGAAGATAAAGTGAGTGGTGTTATGCAACCATGCTCCGCAAATAGTCTTTTATGGTCCTGGTTTGATCCAATCAGATTAGGGCTGCACAATTAATCGCAATTAACATGAAATCACGCTTAAATCGATTTGGCTTATTGCGATTATGAAATCGCAAAGCTGTGATTATGTATTTTTTTAATTCTTATTTTTTTATGCGCAGCTTGTCAGTGACGTACGGCTCTGTGATCAGTAGTAGTAAATTCTGCTTTATCTGAAAGCAATGCAAGTTTGAGTCGTTTATAACATGCAACCAAACATGAACTCCAAACTCGCTTCATAATGACAGTTGAGCTCACCCTTTTGTGAGATGATGTGGCTGCTTACACAGAATAAAGAGGTCGTGTGTTTATTAGTCATGTTTAATCAATCAAAGCTTTCAATCTTCTGTTTATTCAGCTACAGCGATAGTATGAAGCCCACAGGGATTTCCTGGGAAGATGTGCGTTGTCTACTTCTGCATATTTGCCGTGTCTGCGTCCGAGTCCTCTCTGCTCTCAGGTGGAGCAGCATTTACTACTGATCACAGAGCTGTGCTGCACATTAAATAAATAATTAAAATAATTAGCCTTTGCCAAATCGTGTGCGGTTTAATTTCTATTCATTGTGCAGTCGTAAATCAGATATTGGTATAAGGGCTGTCAAAGACAAACACATGCAACTAATTCATGATGTCAATTTCTTCTAAACCTGTTGACACGTTGTCAATTTTACATTTATAGGGTGCAACAGTCAGGTTCCAGAAGTAAAAATCCCAATAATTTCGAATTGATTTTTGACGATAACTTATAAACCATTTAAGATGCAACAGCGACTGTGAGCTAAATATTTGTTAATCAGTGGTATATTTGTTGAAGCTATCAGCCTGCATTATTTCTACTTATTTTTAAATAATAAAGTTTAAAGGTTGGGTAGGCAATTTTGGAGAGGCTAGAGATAGCAAGCTAGCTTTGAAGAGAGAGTTTCCAAAGCCACACCCCAACATGAATGTGCACAATTTCGGCGTTGATAGTTTTGCCAGAGAAACTCATAAGTAGTGGTCGACCAATATATCGGCCGATATTTGGCATTTTTAAAATATCCACATCGGCCGATAAATTTTTCTGATTGGCCGATGTTTTGGAAGCGGGACTTTTATTTTGACTGCGCTGCAGACATTTATTTTGACGGGTTAGAAACAGGAAACGGGTTTATTAGATATATCTAATAAATATTTAATTTCACAAATCTTGTAGATTTAATTTAATCCAGCTGTGGTTTCTTGTGAAGTGTGCGTTTGTAGCTGGCATAAACGTGTTACTGCGAGTGACGGGCCGTGCGCAGTGAATGCGTGAATGCGAACAGAAGATCAGCTTCACAGCTTAAATATAAGTCTAGTTTATTAAATATTGATTTAAATATATATATATATATATATATATAAATATCGGCTTTATATTTGCCGTCGACCACCCTGCTCTCTCAGATATTGGCATCCGCCATCAAAAAACCCATATCGGTCGACCACTACTCATAAGAGTCTGGTAGAACATCACAGGTTGCTATTTTGTGCTATTATGGTTACGACATGGTGTGAATGCAGCATAAGCTCATTGTTTTGGTTCAGGAGGAACTGTGAAAGGTGGCTGGTGTTTGTTTGTGGTGCTCTGTGACTTTCTGTCTACAACTCTGCATATCCTCATGAAATGGGGATGATGTGGGATATTTGCGTGAGTAGGTGTGTGGAGGTATGGAAATACATATGTTGACTGGCAGGTAGGACATTATATCAATGCTTTCAGACTGAATTTCAGTGAGACTTCCACAGAAGCTATAGATTTATTTTTTGTAAAAAAAAAATATTTAGACTGCTTCTATTATTGATTGCTATCAAGATGTGAAGAAAGTTTAAACCAGAAAAACAAAAAGTGTTGTTTTTTTTTTGCCTACCCTACCTTTAATGGGAATTCCTGGTGAAAACTACATTACCCATGATTCTGCAGTGAATCTCCACAAATCTGAAGCAAAACAAGCTCACTTTAGCGGCCACCCACTCCCATGAAGCACCATGGATATCTTAATGGAAATCATAATGGAATCTCCCTAAGATTTAATTTTGAATTTGTCATTTGCAGTGCTCGAGTCAAGCCATCTTTATTTATACAGCGTTTTAGGCGAAAGTGATAACAGTAAAATGATTCAATGATTCAGTTCATTTTGGCTGTACAGCAGCTCTAAAAGAAAATAGTGTCTTTGTTCAGTTGATGTTGATTCAGTACCATTGTAAAGATCATCAATTATTAATTAGTCCCTTTCATATTTAGAGCAGTTCTGCAGAAACTAGTGATGTTATCCTCCAGCTCAGTTCAGTTCTCAAGCAATGGTGTCAGTACAGTAATGTTGGAACCCAAACCATCAGAATGGAGAAAATAAACTACGGGAGAAACCAGGCTTAGTTGTGGGGGATCAGTTTTATCCCATTTTAAAATACCATTGTGCTTCAAATCAACGTTTGTAATGTTGGGATTCACCTCGTAGCTGTTTGGTTTGGTTCGGTTCATGGCATACAGTGCTTTAAAATCCAGATGGGAAAAAAATTCTTCTGGAACCAAGGCCGCTGCAAAAGTGTGCGGACACTGTTGCGCTCTATAACGGTTTCATTCTGTTTTGTCTTCTTTCTATTCAGGGCTGATTGAAACAGGAGCAGTACAAGTATTGTACAAAAATATTCATTTTTTGGACACTTGACTCATGTACTGAACGGGTGATATTTAAATGCTAAGCTTAAATGATACAAGCACCCATTTTTGTAATGTTCCTCTACATTTTGTAAGTCGCTTTGGATGAAAGAATCTGCTAAATGAATAAATGCAAATGTTAATGAAAACACCAGTGGCGGACTGCACGCCAGCTACAAGAACATGTTAACACTTGAGGAGGAAGTGTGGGAATAATCAAATGGTAATGGTTTACTAATGCATATTGTAACTTTACAGGCCCAAACTCATTCAGAAAGGTCCAGCTGGGGAAAGTAACGGCATGAAGCCTGGGAAGTCTGTCACGAAGAATAACAAATCCATAATTTCACGGTAAGATCTTAAAGTTTTCTTAAAGTCGCCATGAATTGGTGTGAATGGATCTATTCATCCATTCAATAACCAAATCTCCCTCTCTGCCACTCTACTTTTTATTTTATTTTATATAAATTTCCTTTACAATTGGATGTACATCACAATACATTAAAAAAAAAGCTCTGTTGTTACTTCCGTTACGCTGACTTTAAGGCAGGCTTCTACTTGCATTATCTCTAATAATATTCTTGATTCCTACTAAAGACTTCACATTCAGTTTGAACTGCTACTGCTTTTAGTTATTAAGTGGAAAACCAATGAGTGGCTAATAGTCTTTTCCATTGCATAATCCATGGGCTCTTTAACTTGCCTGCAATGTAGACCGCTAAAACTGGATTATCATAAATGCAGAACTTTGGCCTGAATGACACATTTAATATACGACATATTAGTGGCCTAGAAAAAGCTGTTTTATTGTGCAGAAGAGAGCCCAACCCTCATAAAGGGTTTTTATCACATGACCAGGTGAATAATACTCTCTTTATCCTCTAATTAAAAGACTGAATTAATGATTGGTTGCAAAAACTACATTTACTTTTGCTTACACTTTGGAATGGCTGCCAGTGGCTTTTGGAAAGACAGTTTTTGAGCTCAGAATGATGTAGGTTCTGCAAATACTGCATCCACTGCCAAAGCAATCAAAAAACTGCTCGTCACACCTTTAAACAATGCTAGCTTGCTTTATATTTAAATGGATAGTTCAAACAAAAATGAAAAATATGTAATTAATTACTTGTTTTTTTCCAAACCCGTAAGACTTTCATTTATCTTCCAAACACAAATGCAAATATCTTTCATGAAACCTGGGGGATGTTTGTCTATCCATTGTCCATTCCACCAAAACTTTTGCACTTCAAAAAATGAATAAGGATTGTAAACTGAATCTGTATGAATTGAGCGGTTTAATTCAAATCTGAAGAAACGCATCAATAAACCTTGATCAATGCATATAGAGCACATTAAATATTGTGAATGTGTGCTCAAACGCACTTGCTAGATGCGAGGGAACAAACCTCATTGGTTGCAAGCATGTTTGAGCTTACATTTACAATATTTGTTGATATGTGAATGAAAGCCTAAACTAAATCTGTTCATCTGTAAAGTTATCGTGTCTCTTCGATTCATATGGATTACTTTTAAAATGTTTTTTTAAATTTCATGATGTTTGAAAGTTTTGGTTGAGTGAACTTTCAATAGGGGAACAGAAATCTCTCAGATTTCATTAAAATATCTTCATTGGTGTTTCGAAGATTAATAAAAGCATTAGGTTTGGAACCAGTGTTGGTCAAGTTTTTTTTGTGCATCTTTTTTTCTTCCTTTGTAAACTGAATGTCTAGTTTTTATTGAATTTTATTTCGGTTTTTAAAGTTGAACTAATCAAAAATGAGAAATGATGCCTTGACAACTAGGTGAAATAATGTAAATTTATATATATATATATATATATATATATATATATATATGAAGAGTTCAGATGCAAAAGCCTCTAAGTGCCATTTGAAATTTTCTTCTAGAATGATCATTTTTATCAAGCTTGTATATTTAAGTTCAGTGATTTCACTTAAATGGCAATGATAATTACCTATTAATTGTTATTTAAGTGAAATTACTGAACTTAAATATACAAGTTTGATAAAAATCATCATTAAAGAAGAAAATTTCAAATGGCATTTAGAGGCTTTTGCATCTGAACTCTTCATATATATATATATATATATATATATAGATAGATATAGATAGATATATAAAAATAATAAAACAAATTTATTTCATAAAATAAATATAAAACCGTTTATTTCAAGTAATGTAAATGTTTTTTTTATTATTATTGTTTTAATTTTAGTTCACTATAATCATTGTTGGGTAAGTTATAGGAAAGTACAATATATTGCCCACCGTATCGGTATCGGCTGATATATGTAAATTTTCCATGTTATATTGTTATCGGTCTGATAAGAAAATTAGGTAAGACTGAGTAATCTCTTATCATATTTTTTCAAGTGAAAAGTAATTACATTTCAGTAATTAAAAACTTAGTAATGTATTACACCCAACACAATAATAACCCTGTTTGAAACAACATAAGGGTGATTCAATTATGACAGAATTTATTTTACAAGTAAAAGTGTGTGTGTGTGTGTGTGTATGTATGTATATATATATATATATATAATATATATATATATATATACATACACATACACACACTATCGGTCAAAAGTTTTTTTTTTATGTTTTTAAAAGAAGTCTCTTCTGCTCACCAAGGCTGCATTTATTTGATAAAAAAAAAACAGTAATATTGTGAAATATTATTACAATTTAAATTGGTCAATTACAATTGGTTTTCTATGTGAATATATAGTGAAGTGTAATTTATTCCTGTGATCAAAGCTAAATTTACAGCATCATTACTCCAGTCTTCAGTGTCACATGATACTACAGAAATTATTATAATATGATGCTCAAGAAACATTTATGATTATTATCCATGTTGAAAACAGTTTTTTTTTTAACATTTTTATTTCAGGATTCTTTGATGAATAGAAAGTTCAAAAGAACAGAATTGATCTGAAATGGAAAGCTTTTGTAACATTAATCACTACCATTCAAAAGTTTGGGGTCAGTAAGAATTTATTTTTTATTTTGGGGGAAAGAAATTAGAAAATACTTTTATTCATCAAGGATGAGTTAAATTGATCAAAAGTTACAGTAAAGACATTTATAATGGTAGAAAAGATTATATTTTAAATAAATGCTGTTCTTTTGAACTTTCTATTCATCATAGAATTTTGGGGGGGAAATGATACACGACTGTTTTCAACATTGAACATAATAATTTATTTTTTTTGAGCATATAAAATCAGCATATTAGAATGATTTCTGAAGGATCATGTGACACTGAAAACTGATGTGTAATCAGCAACAGTAATGATGTTGAAAATTCAGCTTTCAAATTACATTTAAAAAATATTAAAATAGAAAACATTCATTTTAAATTGTCATAATATTTCACAATATTACTTTGTCATTTTTTTTATTCATCAAATAAAGCAGCCTTGGTGAGCAGAAGAGACTTCATTTAAAAACATAAAAAATCTTACTGATCTAAAACTTTTGACCGGTAGTATGTATGTATGTGTGTATGTGTGTGTATATATATATATATATATATATATATATATACATATATTAATACATGATTTAATAGATGTGTAATTCCTTTTTGCTCTGTTTTTCTGTTCAGACCTAAACTGAAGAACATAGACAGGAGCTCGGCTCAGCAGCTCGCCATTACAGTGGGCAATGTGACTGTCATCATCACAGACTTTAAGGAGAAGACTCGCTCTTCCTCCACCTCCTCCTCCACGGTCACCTCCAGCGCTGGCTCTGAACAGCAGCACCTGAGTTCCAGCTCGGAGAGCACAGACAAGGGGTCGTCCCGCGCCTCCACGCCCAGAAGAGACCACTCGTCCGGGCAGAACGAGACCCTGTGAAGGGGAAGAGATTCAGACACGCCGATCTCACTGGACGAGGCCTGGAGCTCCCACACTCGTAACTGTACATGGAAGAGGGATCTTTCCAACCCATTCAGACAATGTCCATCTCGACACACCGGCAGAAACGTACCTGTCGAAAACCCTCGTGGAGCACCCTGTAGATTGATGTGTTGATGTTCACGTGAGTCACTGTCACGCCGAGACCCACTGTATATTCTGTGCCCTACTCCTATCAGATATAATCCATGTTTGTGCACCACGGAAATCAGCGCTCCCAAGTTTGCATTATTATCATCGTTCATTGTCATTAAATCGTGCAGACTTTGTGTTTAGAACGTAGATTCGTTTATGCTAAATGTACAGTATCTGAGCTCATTTCATCATCTCTCGGACAGCTCCGAGTCAACGATCCGTTGCTGCGGCTGTTTGTAAACCGCGAGTTCTCCACGCTTGACCACCGTGTACATGGAGATTTGTTCCCTTATTATTTCGTATGACAAACTCTTGTGTGTTTACATGGTGGAAACACAAACTGTGATTATGTGAGTTTACAGTATTATTATAAATGCAAGGCCAACTTTGAAATCCATACGGTGTACCTTGTAGACATGTTTTGTGGTTCACAAGATGATAAGAGAGTATTTAGAATATTGGTCTTTATCTTTCTCTGTTTTTAGACTTTAAACCTTTGAATATTTCTTGTAAAATTATATCGAGATTCACAGGACTGTCTATTATTCATCTTCATGGCAAAGACGCTCAGAAAGTGTGAAGAATGAAGCTGGCAGTTGTTGGATTTTGAAGCAGCTTATCTATTTGTGAGATTTCATACAGTATATTTACGGTTTACCAAGATCTCTACTGAAATTGATCACTGAATAATACTTCCAATATAGCATTATGTTGTAAAAAATTGGCTTCTTCTCGCCCATAAGGACGTTTTGCACAGGTTTACACTCATTCTGACAATTTGTTAAAAATCTAGGAGCTAATGAAGCTAATAAAAACTTTCTCAAACTCATTAACATTTTGGGCAGTTTGATATCATCGTTAACTTGTTCCACAAGCAGTTATATTTCTGTATAGTGACCAATGTTTACTGTGCTCAAGTCAGCATGAAATAGAAATTTGCCCTATCTATTCTAAATGTGTGTTGTGGATATTATTGTGAATGATTTATCTGTGCATATCTTTCATTTATAGACACTTTTTTTTTTTGACCTCTTAATTTTTAATCAAAATGTCATAACTTTACCCTCTGGTGAAGTGATAGACTTCTGTCTATTATTGTTGTTTGCAACGTCTCAACATCCAATCAACAACTGATGCACAGAAGAACCAAGTCAGATGTACGTCACAATACTGTGGAAGAAAGATCTGTCGCTACTTCCAATTCATTGTGACTTTAAGATGGGTGCACATAATCCCAGATAAAGACCTTTCACAAGTAAAGCGATTAATTGTTTATTGCAAATTTGATGTAATGGAGTTCTGCTTGAATTTGATGCATACTAAATGTAGCGCTGCAGTCCATCACTTTTTTTTGTGTTCAAAATGTATATAATGAGCGAGTACATCATGAATCCATTTTCAAAACCGTGTTTGTCGTATCCTGAATCACTACATTACACCTTTTAATAAGTGTTTGTATTGGGACTGTTTTAGACCGGTTGTGGTGCCAATCATAGACATTAACAGAGAAGTAGTTCCGGCAATAATTCTTTGCTCGAGGCACACGGTTCTGTTTATCAACCTGCTTTAAAGGGATACTCCAATGTTATTTCATATTAAACTGTTATTCTCTTCACTAAGACGAGTTGAAACATACCTTTGTCGTCTTAGTGCGTGCACTCGACTGCTCTGGCGCGCGAGACACTTTGATAGCACTTAACTAGCCCAGTTAATTCAATAAGGGGCCAAGCAGAGAAGCGACCAAACACCTTCACGTTTTCCTTATTTAAACACAGTGACTCGAGCAGTGTAACTCGACCTAGGACGGTGACACAAAATAAAATGTTACGCTTTTCTAAGCGTTTAAAATGGATAACTATATTGTATGGCGGAATACCACAGCAAGTGCTTGGGAGCACTTCGACTCGGCGCAGTAATATCACCACTCCGGAGAGTGAGAGGGGGAGAGGACTTTTCACGAGTGATGATATTACTGCGCCGAGTCGAAGTGCTCCCAAGCACTTGTTGTGGTATTCTGCCATCACTTATAGTTTACACACTTAGAAAAGCACGACGTTTTATTTTGTGTCACCGTCCTAGGTCGAGTTATACTCGTGTAACTGTGTTTAAATAGTGAAAACGTGTAGGTGTTTGGTCGCTTCTCTGCTTGGCCCATATTGAATGAACTGGGCTAGTTAAGTGCTATCAAAGTGTCTCGCGCGCCAGAGCGATTGAATGCACGCACTGAGACGACAGAGGTAGCCTATCAGTTTAATTAAAAAAAAAAAAAAAAAAAAAAAAAAAACAGCAACAAAAGAGTATCCCTTTAATCATTTAGCTTTTATTTGAGATAAATTGACTTAATTCCTTCAAGTGAAATATACTTAATGATCATTTGTTTAAATGTTGATGCTTAGACATGTACATGGCCTCACTACCTGAAGCAAGAGATCCATTGAACATACCTCAATTTCAGCAAACCTGCACAGCTTGATTTAGAAAAGCAGACATTGCTGACTTGTTTCTGAAATTCTTTCCCCATAACCCTTTAAATTGAAGGGCAAAGAATGTTGCTACAGTATATGTCTTATCTGGTGTCTGTGTTTTGGAACATAATTTAGTGAGTTTCTTGCTGGTCTAAACTGGTTGTTAGCGGCTGCCATGCTCCAAAAAACGACTTACAGCAAATTAAATCAGCATGAAATGTAAGTTGCGATAGTTTTCTCTTCCCTATTGTATTTGTGACATATGTCCGAGTGAAACATCTTCTCGGGCGAGAAGAAAACATTTAGTGATCAGACGTTGATTGGATGGTTGTGGTTTGCTATTTGTGGATCTCATGTGAATGACAGGTTGTCCCATGTTTTTGTTGTTGTTGTTTTTTTGTTTTTTGTTGATGGTCCAAGATACTCAAATAACTATTACCAGCAAATGGACAAGCTAGAAATCAGCTACCATTTTATGATTGCTCATTCATCAAGGGGTTTTAAAATTAGACCAGTTATTTTAAAGGGATAGTTCACCCAAAAGTGAAAATCCTGTCATCGTCATCGGAGGATAATAATAACAACACTCTTTAAAATTTCTTCTCTTTTGTTCAACAGAAGAAAGAAAATTATACAGGTTTGTAACAACATGATGAGGGTGAGCAAATTATGACAGTATTTAAAATTTTGAATGAACTATACCTTTAACGCGCTGGGCTTCTTCGTCCGAAAATGACCGAAAATGTTTACGTTTTGAATTGTTTTAATTTTTTTGCTTCTTCGGATGGAGGTGAAACTTGTTTTTTGTACCTGTATGAACACACAAAAAAATCAAGGAGATGATTGTGTTATGTTAAAGGGTCGTAAAAAAAATAGTCACACTTAGCTTCCTCACGGTCAAAAATGACCGACATAGGAAATGAATGGGAAATCCGAAAAAATAGGAAAACTCAGAAAAACTTTTGGTGGTACAAGGTACAGATCAGCAACTGTGCTGAAAAAAAGTGTACAGCAATGAAGGGGTGACACTCTAAAACATTAAGAGTGCAAATAAGACACCCCCCCCCCCCACACACACACACACACACACTTATATAGAACAATTGGCAAGACTGCAACAGCAAATTTGTAGAATATGCTAAATAAAATCAATAAATGAAAAAAAAATACTCGCTCAAATGCACACACACACACACACACACACACACACACACACACACACACACACACACACTCACACACTCACACATACACACACAGAGAGAGATTCACTGGTGACTGCAACAGCAAATTTTGAGAATATGCAAAAATAAATAAATAAAAATACAAAAGAGACTCTCGCTCAAATGCAACACACACACACACAGAAAATTGACTTAATTAACATTTTATGTTTATTTCTGTTTGATCATAATTGCTATTCCCTTCGGAATTTTTATTTTACTTATTGAAACAAAATGAACAAAAAATACCAATTTATTGTAACATGCCTGTATGTGTTTTGAATTATCACTAACCATCCCTTATTTTGTTCAATTATTTGAATGATCAAATACTGAGTAACAAACATGTTTGCATAGTGTTCCCTTTCTAACCAAATGCTGTAGTACTGTATATTGTAATCATAAAGCAAAACCTGATACTTATCTAAAAAAATGTTAGAAAAATAAAAGAGTCTTTTAGAATATCTAAATGTATTTCTAAAAAAAAAAATAATAAGATAGAAAAATCATGTCTAAAACAACAAAAGGAATCAAAAAGCCTTTCTGTAATATGCAGCCTTATATATATATATATATATATATATATATATATATATATATATATATAAATTCTAATGGGAAAAATAGCTCATAAAAAATATTTATTTAATGCAAAGTATCATAAAAAAACTCTAAAAAAATTCTAAATAATAATCAGAAAAATATTATAGAACAAAAATATATTTGAATGGTTATCATGTTTATGGTTATCGTTTTTGACCGGAAGGAAGCTAAGTGTAACCCATTTACGAAGAAGCCAGAGCCAGAAGCCCATAGGGTTAAAACATGTCTGTATGCTTTTATTTTGAAGTGTGCTTGAGACAGATGGCGCTGTGTGTGACTTCACCCTCTGTTGTTGTTGTGTCGGTGACGCGGCAAGTCCAGCCGGCCGAACTGCAGATGAGTCAGCATCAATAATCTGCTATCTTCGGATGTGGAGGTTCATATAGATCTCCCAGCAAAACACTCACATATCGATAGAGAGGTAACTTAATAAAGCAAAAATGGCGGTTCCTGCAGCCCCGAACCTGCAGCTGAACACGGCGAGACAAAGCAGCCCTGTGAACTCTACAGAAAACAACATCCACATCGACGAGAGAGAGCTGGAAAACATCACCAACAGCGTCGAGGACGGCACCTCTCTGCCTCTGCACTCGCCCTGGACCTTCTGGCTCGATCGGTAGGGTGATGTTGTCCTATTACTGTTATAATCGATTACACTTTTTACATTCACAAGCCTGGCAACAAAGGCCCAAGATTTACATTTCCCTTTTTTATTGTTAAGCTTAAGTTAACGTTACTCTTTTCAGTTTCTAAGCGAGCACAACGAACACTAACTAATGGTTCAAGTGCCTATATTGAGTGTTTGTAAGCTTTCTGGGCTCTATAATGTAAAGCTGATATAACTTAGTAAAGTAGGTCGAGTCACCTGTAGGTCATGGTTGTTATTTAATATCAGATATCATGTCCTTTCTGCAGCTCTGTGAATCATGTAACAGTGTAATACTGTAAGGGTGTACCTCAAGGCCCAGTTAAGTTTTGTTTTGTTTGATTTTTTGGTAACGCTTCCTTTTACAGTCCAGTTACCCATGTAAATACTATGTACTTATTTTAGTAACTACAATTACTGGGTAATAACTAGTACTAACCCTGAACCTATCCCTAAACCTAGCCCTGTTCCATGTACTTACCTTATATTAGCCAGTACTTTCTAGGTAAGTACACTGTAAGTACTGTACTGTAAAAGGAAGCGTTACCATTTTTTTTTTTTAAATGTAGTACACTGTCAATGCAAAACAACTTCTGAGATTGTGAAATGGCCACATCTAACGTTATGTTGATTGTTAATTTGCATCAAATTTCATTTACACTATAATGCCATTGAAAAACACGCTTTAAACCTTTGATAATGTAGTTTCTTTTTTCTTCAGCTTATCTTCCACACAATTCTCGTTTGGTAATGATTTTCAAAGGGTTGAAGTCCTGTTTACTGACATTTACTGACTGACATTTGGTTGCCATAACAATTGTGAAAGGCTTCTGTCCTGTCTCATTACATGAACACACTGAACTTGACATTAGACAGAAGATAAAACCTCAATGAACCTACGATTTATGACACAGATATGGGTGATGTGCCCAGCTTATTGAAGCAAAAAATGTATTATATGAATGGATGAAAATGTAACTTATATTATTATTTGTTCACACTCATGTCTTTGCAAAATTGTGTGATTGTTGCCTGTGGAACACAAAAGGGGAATTTCTGAAGAATATCCTGACCGGACCGCTCTTAATCACATAATATGAGGCCGTCAAGCTCCAAAATGACAAAAAGCACAGCCCTTCACAGCAACCAGCTGTCATTTTGAAACCTGATGGCACCAGTTCTCATTCACTTTCATTACCCTGGCCACTCTTTTGAGAATATTACTCAGAAATTCACCTTTGTTCCACAGAAGAAAGAAAGTCGTACAGGTTTGGAATGACATGCGGGTGAGGAAATGATGACAGAAAATACATTTTGATTCTTTAAAGCTATTTGTCAACATACACTTTGTAATTCTACTTCATTAATCTTCCAGGTCATTACCAGGTACAACGGCAGCAGAGTGTGAATCAAATCTGAAAAAGATATATACCGTCCACACTGTACAGGTAGGTGTCACACTTTTATTTAAGTATTTTTAATTGCCATTACAGCTATGTGAGCACAAAATGTGTCTTTTGCCGAACCAGCCTAAAAAATATGTCCTTTTAATATCTATGAAGGTGTGGTGTGTGTTATTTCTGGTTTTGATGGAGTTTTCATTGTGAAAAATGCAGATGTCAGTCAGAATTTGACCATGCTAATAAATGACTGATGTTTTTTTTTATGGTGGTACTGATAATAAATGTATTGTATGATTGTTTTTTTCCCCATTTATTATAGCTTATAGAATTTATATGCCTCAAGTGATATTAGGAAATAGGAATCGAACCATAATTATTTACATTAATAAACAAAACAACTGTTTAATGCTTTTGCAAACTAGTCTAGAACTCTTTTCTGTGAGAATTGGGAAAATATTGTGTCTCCCATACATTGTGCGTCATCTTTTCTTTCTTTTTTTCTTTTATTTATTGCATACAGAGTTTCTGGAGTGTGTACAACAACATCCCTTCTGTGTCCAGCCTGCCTCTGAGGTGTAGCTATCATTTAATGCGAGGAGAAAGAAGACCACTATGGTGAGTTTGATTTTAATGCAGGGAAATTCAGCCAAATAATTAATTTTTTTTTCAGCAAGGATGCATTATTAATCAAATACATAGTGTTTTTGTACTCTTTATTCATCAAATGATCCTAAAAAAGTGTTTCCACAAACATATTAAGCAGCACAACTGTTTTCATCATTGATAAGAATAATACATGAGCATCAAATCGGCATTTTAGAATGATATCTAAAGGATTACAGTATGTGTCACTGAAGACTGGAGTAAACATAATTTATTTTTTTTAATCTTACAGACTCCAAACTTTTTAAATTTTTTTAATAAAGCACTTTACATAAACCATTTAGTTGAATATATTGTTTTCTATTTCAACACAGGGAAGAGGAAAGCAATGCAAAGGGAGGTGTTTGGAAAATGAAAGTGCCAAAGGAGAGCACAGTAAGTCTGTTTATTAATAATTTCACTTCAGGCCTAAGTGAAACCAATAATTTGTAAATACATAAAATTCATACTACACAAATTTTGTGTTTTCCTATACTTTCTGGAGTGTTTTATCGCTGCCAGATTGTAATGTTATTGCCCGTATCGGTTTTCTTACAGTCAGCTGTGTGGAAAGAGTTACTGTTGGCTACTATTGGTGAACAATTCACAGATTATTGTGCATCAGGTGAGTGTAGAAATGAGTTTTATTAAATTATTTATATTATTTGTTTGTTTTGTTGATATCATTTAACCCTTCTGGTGCTCCTCATTTAGGAGTCACGCTCATAATTATCCCGGTCAGAAATATCACTTTTTTTCCCCTTCCCATTCAGAAGTATAGCAAATTTTGTTTAATAATATTTTATATTTTTGGTTCTGAAAGAATTTTTTTGGTACTAAATAAGATTTTTGCAATAATCAAGATGTTTCCACAATTTTCTCAATACAATTAAAGGGATAGTTCACTTTGAAATTAATTTTTGGTATTTTTCAGCTTACCTCAAGGGCATCCAAGATGTAGTTATTCAGTAGTTTCAATTTTGATGTTTTTTAGGTCAAACCGTTTGTTTCTTTCAGTCATATAATGGAGGTCTATGGTCACCACCTCAAAGAGCATGCACAGAGAAGTCCAAATTAAACATGATTTAATGACTCGTAAATGTAAGTACACTTTGATGGCCTTAGACACGAAACGAGTGGTTTGTGTGAGAAAACGAACAGTATTTATATTGTTTTTACCTCTTGTAATCACATCCATTCTGTGGTTTAAGAGGTAAAAACAATATAAATACTGTTTGTTTTCTCACACAAACCGCTCGTTTCGTGTCTTAGGCCATCAATGTGTACTTACATTTACGAGTCATTAAATCATGTTTAATCTGGACTTCTCTGTGCATGCTCTTTGAGGTGGTGACCATAGACCTCCATTATATGACTGATTGACACAAACGGTTTGACCTAAAAATATCAAAATTGAAAATACTGTGGAAACAAAGACACCTACATCTTGGATGCACTTGAGGTAAGCTAAAACATATCAAAAATTAATTTCAAAGTGAACTATCCCTTTAAATTATTTGTTTTTTCTGCATTGTAGCTTATTTATAGATTTAACTAATCTTTTTTTTTTAATGTAATTTCCCATTTATTTCTTTAGTAGTAATTTTTGACTGTGAGGTGTACAACTGTGTCTATTTTTTAGGACTTTTTAAACTTTTTGAAATTATGTCCACAATTTTTACTTTATTTTTTGCCACAAAAGTCACAATGGTATACCATTCCGATGAAGTACACATTTTAAACGTAAAAGTTTTGAATCAAAAGTGACCAAAGAGCGCCAGTGGGTTAAATTAAAATGAATAAGAAGAACTATTAAAGAATGATAACATCTGTATGTCTTCCAGAGGATGAAGTTGTAGGAGTGAGTGTCAGCGTGAGAGAACGAGAAGATGTGGTTCAGGTCTGGAACGGAAACGCCTCTTTCGCCAATGAGGCAAAGGTTTTAGGAAGAATCTACGAACTTCTTCCACAGATATCTTTTAAAGCAGTATTTTATAAACGTAAGTGTCAGTGGTTCACATTCTTCTCACTGCGTGTCACACTGTCCCTGCTGTTTATTGTTAGAACATTAGATGTGTGAGATTAGTAACATTACATTAGTTCCTATGAAACCGTTCTAATTGTATTTAAGTGTAAGAACAGTGACTGATTTAAAACTTCTGTTTTTCAGCACACGAGGAGCACCATGCATTTGAAGGTGGTCGCTCAAGACATTAGCAAGCTTTGCACATTCGTCACGTTTTTCCCTCTTTTTGGACTGATCCTAGAAAATGGACTGAAAATGGAAGACAAAAACAAAAGAACTCTTGGGTTTTGTAGTTGTTTCATATCATAGGGAATGTTAAAGCCCTGTTTTTAAGTTGTAAGCGTTGCAGATGATCCCTCCATGCTTTCCGTGAGGAGTTTCCTCACACCAGGTATTTAGGCGATACCAATAAAGATCACATAGTAGTAGCATATGTATTATAAATCATCACAATGAGCAATGTTGCCAATTCTTATCATCCCCCCTCCCCTATTTCTAGGTTTATTGATTAAATGTGCAGTCTGGTGACGGTTGCTGCTTGTCAAAATATATACACGATGTGTTAGACATTTTATTCGAAGAGTTAGAGCGTCCATTAGGATCAAACTCTTAGGGCTGTTTTTCTCAGACGCATATTAGGCGTAACCTTAAACTAAAAGACATAGTCCAAGGCTAAGCTTAATTTGTCTCTGGGAAACTATTTTTATGCAAAAGTATTGCACATTTCTCTTTGGAAAAAAATATCCTCTTTGGCTTAGGTTAATGATTTCAGAGCAAATGTAAGACAACCTTGGTTATTACCGTAAATATACAGCAAAATGCATATGCAATTCTTCGTTTTCACCCCCAAACTGAATATTTAAGGTCATTTAAATTAATCACATGAGGGTAAAAATCTTGCATCTTGCAAACGGCTTTGCTTTTTTGAATTAGAAAACTGTATCCAGACCTCCTCTTGTAGTATTTTATGTAAATGAAAGCTGTTTTAGAATGGCGTCTGAGCACTGTTGAACTTCTCTTTTTATTTTTTTGTGGTTTGATATCCTGCATTATGTTATTAACTGTAGCCCCAAACCCCCATAAGTGTCTTGTCTTTGTCAGAATAGTCCAAATGCTTAATATATGTCCTTTTTTTTACGTACGCATTTGCTCCTAACTGCCTTTTTATTCAGTATAATCACACTGTGTCTTGTTTCAGAGTGCTTATTATTGTAGTTTGTTTTATTGTGTTTGGATGGATGGTTCTGTTGGAAAACCTGAGTCGAGAGGGGCTAGTGTAGATATGGTCAGATTATGTAACTGAAAATGACTTGTGTAATCATCAGAGCATATATTTTTTAGTTTTTCAGTACCAAAGAGATTTCCTTTCTGTTCTCCTATGTCATAATTTGTCACGTCCTGTGTCCTTCTGCACACGCTTGGGAGTTACAACCGCGTTTCGTATGTTTTTTACCCTTCACTTTCTGCCGTGTCTCCCATGATGCTGTATGCCGATTTTATTTAGGTTTGTCAAGCCCAAAAAGACCTGAATCACGAACCAGGTCTCTTAATGCACTAAAAAGCACAATTATGAGTTTGTCCTTCATATGGACAGGGATGTTCGCAGCTGACCTTTCATATTTAAGCCTTTTCCTACCTATCACTCATCTCTTAATGAGATATGTGAGTTCTGATGTGGATTTTTGGAGCATTTGTCAGTTTTCCAGGCTCCCAATCAGGATCTGAAACCTCAAACTGATTGTCAATCTTCTGGAATGGTGCCTTGTGTTCTGCCAGGGTTTCACTCATAGAATGTTTTGGTTTTCTCTATGTATTTAATCATTTATATTATTCGTTTTTTTCTTTCTTTTGCTTATAGGTTTTGAAATATTGAATAAATACGAAGCAAAATTCGAATTATGAGTATTGCAGTTATTTTCAACACAAAACTGTGTATCTCAACTGCATACACTAATTAAGTACTTGTGTCTATGTGGTCTGCACTGAAAGAAGAATCCTGTGATTGTGCAGAATTTGTTCACCGCAAGATGGCGCTGCCTCTCCGCAATTTCACGTCGTCACTCGTCTGCATCTAGTACATTTAGTTAATTCACATTTCACAAGATTTGTGGAAGCTCTATAGATTTTTATTATACCGCCCGCTCGTGTTTATCATGTCATTGATTAATGTACCATGAAATGATTTACTGTCTGTGCTCATATCCAGTCTTGTGCGCAACAGTATTTGTGACGAATCAATTCAGACCTCAGCAGCAGGTGGACGTGACGTCACACCTCTACAGCTACTCTGAAACATACGACAAAAAACTGTTTTGCCTCGGCTCACACAATAACTTTAACCAATTAATATCGTTTACGGTTTATAATTAAACGCTCGCTTTAAACTGCTCCGTGTACGTGGAAAAGCTGTTCGCGTTGTTCGTAAAGTAGTCCCTTGGACGCGCACTGCGGATGAATACACTTGTTTACATTGTGCTACACGCGGCAGTGGCGGCCAGCGCGCGCTGCTACGCGAGCTTCATGGGAGAGCGACGCACTGCGCTTCACAGCTCGCGAAAGTTCGTTCCACGGTCACCGTGAAAGTTTTCATTTCTGCCCGTTGAGAAACCATTTCATCCCCGGTGAGTTTATTCTTTTTATCAAGTTTCTTTCTCCGTGTTCATTCCTAATTTACATGTGAGGTTTGATTTGCTAGTTATTAGCCTTATCACAACTAACGGCAGCGCTGGAGAGTAGACAGCCAGACAGGAGGAGCTGCTAATTCAAAGCTCTCCCCAGTTTTATCGCCATGTATTTAGTATTTTATTACAGGTAATTTGCCTTGAACAGAGTCGGTGGCTTACATAATACACAGTTATTGTCATAGGACAGTATTTAAAGCCCTCATGAGAGTGTTAGCTGGCTAACATGTGCCTTTGGTTCAGTTCATGTGGAGAACAAAAACAGCCTGAGTAGCTAAGTTAACTTTAGTTCAAGACAGTCTGTCTCTGTCGTAAATCACCTCTTTTCATCACTGTTTTTTAATATTAAACTGTTACGATAACAAAACAAATATTAACACAGCTTGCATAAAATATATGTACTGTAACGTTATGTATTAACGAACGTACAAATGATACATACATTACTTTGATTCTTTATCATATCAAATATACCTACACATGCATATGTTATTCTGACAAAATGAATCAAATAAGTCCATTTAGAATAAATAAAGCAAAAGTAAAGCATCTTCGTCCATTCAAACTTGACATTTTTTCCTCCACAGTTATTATACAGCCTATATACAGTGTTTGTCAGTTGGCATTAGTCAAACATAATTCAACTGTGTTAATCCTAACTGGGTGGTTGATTTTGGTCAGCAGGTTTAAACAGGGACTCACATGCAGGACAGAGGTGTAACTTTGGGTTTGTCTCAACCCAGTGAAGCTCCTTCCTAGACAGTGTTTCTAGGCACCTATAATGCCTCAAAGTGCTGCCTAGGCTTGCAGAAAACTGGGCTTTCTCAGCCACGATTTCCTTTGTTTGCTTGGTGTGCTCAGTTTCGTTATTCTTCATAATACACTTATTCTTCATAGTGTACTAAGGAGTTAAAAAGCTGTCCTTTCGTTTCACTGTTTGATTTTGAAGTTGTTGAAACTACACCAAAAAAAAAAAAAGAAAGAAAACCTTGACAGGTTTCATTTCTCCTTTTGCCTCTGAGCATTTACAATTCAGTTATCCATTTGTTTGGAGCACTTATACAGGCATCCCATTCTGTCTTTATTACTCGAGTTGTCTGTTCTTAAACCAGGTGTTACATGCCCTCAGGATCGGGTTCCCTCACTTTACAGTCCATTGTGAGGATCTGTCCATTCAGCACAACTGGAAAACACTTTCAGTAGGGAATTCAAGAGATTTTAATTTGTTAATGCAGGGGTTTCCAAAGGTTTATTTTATTTTTTTTAGGGGGATAACATATTTTGTCATGTTTTTTGATTCAAACTGCGATATGACGATTTTCATTTCATATGAAAATGTCTCATTCACTCCTTACAGGAACCGACCAATTCTACAAGTTACAATACAAATATTTGTCTTATTCTTCACTTTCAAACATTCAAACCCTCAAGCTTTTAACATGTCAAACCCTCAAGATTTTATTTCCTGGAATATTGGAGTAATGCTGTAAACTTTTTTCCCCAAAAGTGATGCAAGTAAAAAAAAAATTTAAAAAAATCTGTAGCGCACATTTTCTTACCAATTGCCACTCTGAAAACACAGTATGGCCAAGTTCCCACAGCGGCAGGATACGGTTGTCAGTCCTGTATTTGATTCCTTAATGCGATTATGTTTACACACAGTTCTGTTATACACAGGAGTGACGCTGCATTCTATAACCAAACTCGCACCTGTAGTTTCTTTAGGACAACCGCATTCTTGGGAAATATGCGCTGTGTGAACCGAACCGGTTGTCTATCTCGTCATACAGCGGAAGAGAGCCACTCCGCGCTGCACAAAAATGCACTTCTACTATGTGTAGACCCCTTTCGCCTTCAGAACTGCCTTAATTCTATGTGGCATTGATTCAACAAGCTGCTGAAAGCATTCTTTAGAAATGTTGGCCCATATTGATAGGATAGCATCTTGCAGTTGATGGAGATTTGTGGGATGCACATCCAGGGACCTCCCGTTCCACCACATCTCAAAGAAGCTCTATTGACTGTGCTGTGGGGCCATTTTAGTACAGTGAACTCATTGTCATGTTCAAGAAACGCATTTAAATTGATTCAAGCTTTGTGACATGGTGCATTATCCTGCTGGAAGTAGCCATCAGAGGATGGGTACATGGTTAGAAACAATGCTCAGGTAGGCTGTGGCATTTAAACGATGCCCAATTGGCACTAAGGGGCCTAAAGTGTGCCAAGAAAACATCCCCCACACCATTACACCACCACCACCAGCCTGCACAGTGGTAACAAGGCATGATGGATCCATGTTCTCATTCTGTTTACGCCAAATTCTGTCTCTGAAATTGGTGATCTCTTGCAAATTGTAGCCTCTTTTTCCTATTTGTAGTGGAGATGAGTGGTACCCGGTGGGGTCTTCTGCTGTTGTAGCCCATCCGCCTCAAGGTTGTGTGTTTTGTGGCTTCACAAATGCTTTGCTGCATACCTCGGTTGTAACGAATGGTTATTTCAGTCAAAGTTGCTCTTCTATCAGCTTGAATCAGTCGGCCCATTCTCCTCTGACCTCTAGCATCAACAAGTCATTTTCGCCCACAGGACTGCCGCATACTGGATGTTTTTCCCTTTTCACACCATTCTTTGTAAACCCTAGAAATGGTTGTGCGTGAAAATCCCAGTAACTGAGCAGATCGTTAAATACTCAGACCGGACCGTCTAGCACCAACTACCATGCCACGCTCAAAATTGCTTAAATCACCTTTCTTTCCCATTCTGACATTCAGTTTGGAGTTCAGGAGATTGTCTTGACCAGGACCATATGCATTGAAGCAATTGCTATGTGATTGGTTGATTAGATAATTACATTAATGAGAAATTGAAATGGTGTTCCTAATAATCCTTGAGGTGAGTGTAAGCTGCATATGCACAAACTCCCACTCTTCACAAACTTCTACTACATTAACTAAATCACAGCCTCTGATTTGATCATCTCTATTTGACAAGATAATCACTATTTCAGTTTTATTTCAATTAATTGTGCAGCTCCATTCTTTTGTAAAGTGACGTTCAGTTTAATTAATCATTCGCTTTTCATCAACTCACAAACCCCAGATTGGGAAACCCTGTGTTTCAACCATCTTCTTTCAAATCTTTCTCCTCCAGGCATTTTTCTGTATCCTGGAGCTTCTTCATGTTGCTGGCAAACCTGTTATGTCCCGTCTTGTGTTTCACAACTGTGTTATTGAAAGAGTTATTGTCTATTTAAATAGAATTTACAAACTGCACACTGCCTATTTCTTGCCGTTGCTCTTAGTATCTGACTGAATCATGTGGCGACTGACTGATCTTGCCATGATGGTGTAATAACAGCTTCAATCACTTGCGCAAAAGTGATTCCTTAATTCGTAACCTCCCCCACCTCCTGCTACACAATGAATTAGATGGTCAGAAACCGGTAGTGTCAATGTAATAATCCGGTTAATGATTAACAGTTTTCTAGACATGTCTAGATAAACATTTTATGGCATATCATACTCTGACGTCTTTCAGTGATTGTTGTCTGCACAAGAAACAACAATCTATAGTACATTGATTGCTGTATTGCATCTGTTGGGATAAAATGGTGTGGTAGTTTAAAGGTGTGCCACGAGTATGCGAGCGTGTAGGAGTAAGTGTAATGCGGTTTGCTCTTTCCGAGGAAGCGGCACGTGTGCCGCTCATAGGCGTGGATGTGTAGATGAACGTGACAGATATTTCCTTTTTAGGTGGGAGTGTTAGTTTCTTTTTCCCCTTTCTTAAATTCTTGCTTGACTGAGGGTTTCCCCCCAGGTGAAGGGGTTTCAGATGAGTGCGCTAACATTGAGCAAACTTTGTTGTGGTGAGGAAGTGTAATGGCTGGCCAAGGTGACTTTATGGTTATTTCTTGGTTAGCGTTATTCAGTCAGGAGCTTTTCCCGTTAGCGTAGTGAATAAGCCTAGTCCTTTGTGTGGGTTATTTATTGAAGCAAACGAAACTTATGGCTCATAATGTATGCATAATAATCGTTTCTGAAAAAATAAGCACTAGCTAACCTTGTGGGCTGGAAAGGTGTTTGCGAGAAGGAATTGCTTGTCACCCTTCGGTCTATTGGTGTAATCTATGGAAATGGTGATTATTCGGTTGCCCTATCTCAACTGACTCGCACACCTATTCAAATGTTCCGGAACAGTAAGTGTGGTTATGCTATCTGTGTTTGCCATCCTGGAGGGTTTGAGCACTTGGTGCACCACTGATGTGATCTATAAAGGAGCATACGCTGCAGCTCTGTTTTATTATGAGTTGTTTGCTCGAGGTTAACGGTGGGTCATTGGAAATACTTTAGGTTGCATCAAGATTTGTTGTGTTTTATTTGTGTTTTATTTTATATACATTTTTTTTCTCTCAAAATGAACACTAGTACCATTGAAACTTTTGATGTTTCTCATGCCAACTCAGTAAAACAGTAAAACAGCAATATTGTGAAATCGTACTATTTAAAAGAACCGTTTATAGATGCAATTTATTCATGTGATGTTGAGCCTCATGATTCTGGATAAATTGAGAATCACGTTTTTTTTTTTTTTTTTTGAAATAGAGATTACGATTCTCCCATGATTCTGAATAAGAGAGAAAAACAGAATAACATGCAAGTTAGTAGAGGTTCATTCATACAAAATGTTAATTGATGCAGATAGTCATATATATATATAAAGATATAATGATTTTTTTTTTTTATTGGTTTGAATGAATGATTCAATGACTCACTCTTAGGCATGTGACTGTAGAAAATGTTCATGTCACTTTTTATGTTCAACACCACACAAAGCAGATGAATGCTTAAAGAATAGCATTTATCTAAAATATTTATTTATATTAAATAGAAATCTTCTGTAACATCACTTTTGATGTCACAATTCAATGCATCTTTGCATGTCTT